TAGTCTGAATTATTTATAAAAACCATACATTTTACAAAGAGACATTGAATGACTTAAAAGAAGCCAATCTTTCCAGTGACCTCATGATTAAATTTTTGTATTTGTGATTTTCTGTTCAGTTCTATGTCTTCTAACAATGAGCATTTGTTTTATAATTTAGAAAGTTTGAACAGTGAAAAAAATGATAGCTACCTTCATCCTTCAAGTTGTTTTAGGGAAGTGACTTATTAGAATTACAACCAACTATAAGTATTGTAGCACTGTAGAACTGTCATCCTGTTGTTCATCAATTTTCTCGAGTGGGCACCAGTAACATCTCCATTGTGAGATTTGTTGTTACTGTTTTTGGCATATCGAATACACCACAGGGAGCTTGCCAGGCTCTGCCGTGCAGGCGGGATACTCTTGGTAGCTTGCTGGCCTCTCCAAGAGGGGTGGGGGAATCGAACCCGGGTCAGCCACGTGCAAGGCAAATACCCTACCCTCAGTGCTATTGCTCCTACAAGCATAAGGATATTTATTGTAGCTTTATCTTTGTTATGAAAATTTTAGAAATAACTAAAATGTCAGGCAGAAAAGATCTAGTTAGGGAAGTTACTATAAACTTGCTTTCTTAAGGGCCACCACGCAATCATTCACATGACAACTATGATGACTATACACATTTTATGCTGCATGCTAATCGAAGGTTTAAAGACTAACAGGAAACATGTGAAATGTGTAAAATAGATCTTCATTTGGACCAGAGCTGAGTGTGTACACATGAAAATAATTGCTTTAGCAATAAAGATGATGACATACCTTCCCCTCATAGTAAAGGAGTTCTGTTCTGTGTATTTTGGAAGACAAAAGGAGTTGTCTGGTGCCAACACTTGGCAGAGATCATGGGTCAGACCCTCAATGGGTCTAAGCTGACGTCTGGGCCTCTTGATTCAATTAGTCTATGCTGGAGCTTTGTACGGGCCGGACTGGAGTTCTGAGACCGTCAACTTGAACCATATGTCACTCTCCCGTCCTGGATAGAGACACAAGCGTAACACCAGAGAGCAAAGCAACAGGACAATAGTGGAGTTTATTTTTTAATTGCAACAACCTAAGGATTCTGAGGAAGACTGGAAAATAGTCGGCAATCCTCAAATCTGCAAGATCGTCTCAGTCTATTTCCACTCAAGTTCAAGCTCTCAGAGAATAAGCGATCAATAGAATCTGTCATCATCCTCCCCTCCCCAGCTGCCAGGCAGGCCAAATCATGATCCTGAGCCAAATACAAACCCATTAGCCTCGTCTAATTGATGAAATGCTCTTCCAGGAGCACAGCTAGGACATTGCTTATTTGGATTAATTGAATTTTGATGAAGAAATCCAATAAGAAATCCTCTAGTGTACTTTCCTTTCAAAGCCACCAGTGGTTGAATTGAACCAGCACAGCCTGGCAGAATCTAGTGGCTCCAAGAATGAGTTGCAGTGATGCATCATTCATGTGGGTGACTGGGGAGAGCAGGAGGGCTGGAAAGGGTGGCAGAGAGGTGAAGATGCTTCATGGTTCCTTCATCTTCACAGGCAGGATGTTGTTGCATTGAAGACTCTATTCTTTTTTTTTTTTATTAGTGAAACACCATGAGGTACAGTTGTAGATTTACAATTTTTTGTGCTTGGGTTTCGATTATACAATGATCAAATACCCCTCCCTCCACCAGTGCCCATTTTCCACCACCATGGATAATATCCCTCCCACCTCCATCCCCCCATCCCACCCTGCCTCTGTGGCAGGGCATTCCCTTTTGTTTTCTCTCTCCTTTTGGGTGTTGTGGTCTGCAAAAGAGGCATTGAGTGGCCATCATGTTCGGTACATAGTCTACTTTCAACATGCATCTCCCCTCCTGGGAGGATCCTCTAAACACCCTTTATTTGGTGCTCCCTTCTCTATCTGAGCTGCCCTTTCCCCTAGAATGCCCGGCTGGCCTCTACGCTATGGAATAATCCTCCTGGTGCTGATCTCAGCTATTCTTGGGTATAAATCTCATATTTTGTTACTTTATATCCCCCAGATGAATGCAATCTTTCTATGGAAGACTCAATTCTTATCCCCTAAACCTGCCTAAAATCCTAGAGAAGGATTCCAGAGTCGGAGCAAAATGAGCCATCTGTCTGTCTAGCTGCAAAGCCCTCGCTATGGCCAGCATCACCTCCCACCTCTTCTTGAGTTGAGGGTGCAAGAGAAAGCAGCCCTGGCAACACCCACTCAGAACAAACCCCTCTGAGCACAGCTGTTTTTCTCTGAAGCCCCATCCAGACTGATGAGTCTCAGTGAATTTTCTAAGATCAGGAACTCTTCCCTGAGGGTCGCCCAGGACACGGAGAGCTGTAGAGGGAGATCAGCTACGGGTGCCAATGAGCATCCCCAGCGCCAGATGTGAGAACACCCTCCTGACCACTTGCTTTCTTATCCAGCATGTCTGTATGCGCTGAGTGGAGCGGAGGTTGGGGCTTGGGCACCCGTGTCTGGGGACAGCTGGCTTTTTGGGGAGAGAGCTGAGTCGGTCACTGGGCCAACAAGAACGCACTCACTCTAGAAGGCTCCCTCCCAGCCATGTGGACATGGGCTCCCCTGTGTTGCTTCTCCACACCCCCCACCATCTAAAAAGAACCCTATCTGTTTATAAGCTGTCTGCTGAGGCTTTGTTCTCCTGGTGATTGCCATTCTATGCCACATTCTCATCATCATACTGTGTTTTCTCTTATAGGCTCACTGTTAAGAGATCAACCCGTCCCCCTTCAAGGGGCCTGGAGATGACAGCCAGGCGTGGGGGCAGGAAACCCTGCACTGTTCTCTTCCGGGAGCTGGGTTTTATAGTCTCTGGGGCTTGGCCGTTGATGGAATTACAAGGTGCTAGGGGGCAGTTGGTGAGTGTGACCCCTGCCTACTGGAAGATGGAGGATCTGGCAGAGATCTCCAAGCCTGCTTGGATTGGGGCTGAGCATCCTCCACCTAGATCCTACATCTTCCAGTAGGCAGGTGTGACACCCACCAACTGCCCCCCAGCGTCGTGTAATCCCATCAACGGCCAAGACCAGAGACTATAAAACCCAGCTCCCAGAAGCGGCGCGACATCTTATTATCTCATTCTTACTTTGGACAACCTGGCAGATTACTGAATGTAACCTGCCTACACGGCAGAGTCTGGCAAACTCCCTGTGGAGTACCCAATATGCCAAATACCAGTAACAATGATGGGTCTCATTTTCCTAACCCTGAAAGAACCTTGAGCACTTTTTAAAATCTCAGGGCTAGGACGAAGGAGATGTTACTAGTGCCTGCTCGAGGCCATCAATGAACAACAGGATGACTGTGATCGTGTTAAGAGATCTTTCTTTACATTCAAGACCGTAGAGCTCCAAGGGGTCAAAAGGTTCAGAGTCCATGCTTCTATTTCAGAATAGGGGAATTTTTTTAATTTATTGAAGCACTGTGGGAAAAGTTACAAAGCTTTCAGGTTTAAGTCCAGGTCATGCAACTATCAAACACATTTCCCTTCACCAATACTTATTTTTCACCACCAAGAACCCCAATAAACCCCCCTCCCAACCCTCCCAATGCCTGTGAGGCAGATGAACTCTAGTTAATGCTCTATCTACTTTGATTAGATTCATTGTTTCAACAAAATATATACCATTATAATTTAGAGTTTACACCCAGAAAGAGGGAACTTTTATAGTTTTTTTATCTTGCGCAAACATCTTTATTTAACAAATCAAATCAATAGCAGGGGTAAAAAATTAGGGCAGCGACTACACACAAGGATATGAAAACAAAGTTAGATTTCACAAGCTGTTCAGAGTGGAACAAAATCCTTCCAGTGTGTACATGCACAGGAGCGAAGATAATGCCCGGCGACATCACTTGCCTTTAAAAGGACATTTAGTATGTCACACTAAGTGTCCACACTTTTTACAGTACATACAACAGATGAATTGTTTTGTCCCCTGTGGTGTCTAGCTTAAAAGGCTGAGTGTAATGCTAATGTAATAATGCAAGCTGTATTTCACTGTAATTCTCAAAAGCCTTACAACTTTTTTGTTAATACAGATCTTATGAGGTTTATTTCATCTTTAGTTGACTGGCTATGGAGAAAGAATGTTAAACACATGAAAGAGCAGCCAAAGCGATCATACAGTGAAGGGGCTGTTTGCTCTCTGGTACTCCATATGGTCCTCTGAGACCGCTAGGAGTGATCCCTGAATGCAGAACCAGGTGGAAGCCCTGAGAACCACCAGGTGTAGCTCAAAAAGACAAAAGGAAAAGAAAAGAACATACTAAGATGCTTTGGTTGCAGCCTCCCATCTTACAAAAGCAGGTTCAGGATTCAAGAATGACACTGGCATCACTGTACCCAGAAGTCACCTGGCCACACAAAAAAGCTGCTTACTCTGCATTCCTAGAGACTGCTACTATGTAGGCTGCCGATATATATATTTGGGGGGGGGGGGGTGTTGGGGCACACCCAACAGTGCTCAGGGCTTACCCCTGGCTCTATATCAGGGATCACTCCTAGCGGTGCTTGGGGCACCATATGGGATGCCAAGGACCCAACCTTGGTGGGCCATGTGCAAGGCAAGCTCCCTGTGTGCTGTGCCATATTGCTCAGGCCTCTGTGATACATTTTTTAAATAGCAGCTCTATAGCTAAGCCTGTGTATCTGCCACCAAATCCATTCTCTACTGTGAAAATGTATCTGCCTGCCAAATCTTGACAATGACATTTGTTTCTGGGTCCTTACTACACCAAGCATGAACTACATGAATCTGGAGAGTCACAAACGTATGCTCATTTCTTAACATGAAAGATATTTCATGACTAACAATGAAAAGCTCTTTATAAATAACATTCATTGGCAAACGTAAAACTGTAGATAATCAAAGGAAATGAAATATACTACTTTTAACATACAAAAGAAATTTCATGAAGTTTAAACAAAACTCAGACTACAACAACAAAAAATTTCTTAGAGTGTTTAATCAAATTACTTTAGAATGTGCACACCTTTTAGGTCCACTCTATCGCCAACACTGTTTACTTCTGAATTTTTCAGAATTCAGCTTAGAAGGTGTTTCTTCCCAAGAAACTGAACTTTTCGGTCAAATGCACTTGATCGTATAGGAGAATTGGGTTCGTAAAATGGATTCATAGCAAACTTCATGTATAAGTCATAGACATCAGTAAAGAAGTTCTTTATTCCATCCTCCTGTCTTACATCATGCAGCATGATGAGTCGCATATGACCTGCAGTCACAAAGGCTGAGACAAACCACTCGTTGAACTTGTCAACACTTTTCAAGTACATGTTGTCTGACAGCCACATATTTTCATCCACCAGGTCGAGTGCAGCGTGCGCCATGAACTGGTTCAGATGGCGATGGTCATCTTTGGACTCAGCTTTTCCAGGTGGCAAAAACTCCATTTCAAAAATTGGATTATCATGATGGCCAACAATAACAAAGTAGTAGCTTCCAGACATCCTTTTTGATGTAGCGCTCCTTTCATCCGCAGCACCCGACACGACCACACAATCGGTGCCACTTTTATAGTTTTTTAAAAATAATATGTGCTTTGTGTCTAGAAATATAACTACCTATTACAACTCAACAATGAAAAAACAATCCAATCTCACAATGAGTGACGGATCTGACTAGCCATTCCTCTATAGAAGACACACAATGGCCAGTAAACATATGGAAAGATGCTCAACATCTTGAGGGAATTGGGGGGGAATCATTAACAGAATCTCCAGGGAGCCACTAGCTTTGGGGAAATGCAAATTGAAAGTACAGAGAGAGAACTCCTTCAGACTCTCTACAATAACTGATTTCTTCAAAAGGAACAAGTGTTGATGAAGGTGGAATTTGTACACACTGGTTTAGCTTCTTTGGAAAAGAAGTTCTTCCAGTTCCTAAGAAAATCAAACATAGAGTTAATAGATTCTTTGAATGTTTCCCATTATGAACCCCCTTTGACCCCAGAAATGCAACATGGCTGTGTATTACTAAAAATATCTCAGAGTCATAATGTGGTTGGTTTTGAATTATATTTTAGTTCCTGAGCATTCAGAAACCCTCTACTGTTCCTACTGCTTTCTGCAACCCCCACGTTCAGTTACACAACCCCATATGGAGTCACAACCCACAGTGTAAGAAGCTAGCAGTTCACATAAGACCTAGCAAGTCATCTCTATACATATAACCAAGAGGCATGAAAATGCAAATTCACACACACACAGAAATATATAAAACAAGGTTAGTTATTTGTAAAAGTTGGAAATCAGGAGCAACACCAATGTACATCAGCTACCAGATGGGTGAGTAAAAGGTGATGTTTGTTTTCATCCAAATACTGAAGTATTATTCAGCATCATAAAAGGAATAAAGTACTTTTATACGTTACTGCATGAATAAATAATGAAAATACTGTGCTCGGTGGGAAAAAACAGGTATAAGAGGCTATTCCATTGATATGAACTATCCAGAATAGGCTTATATGGAAACAGACAGCATGATCAGTTCCTCAGGAATGAGGAGAGGGTCAAAATATTGGAGGCTAATAATGAATGACAACTCACAGATGCAGGACTTCGGTTGAAATGATGAAAATATTTAACATTGAAGGTGGCAAATGCAGAACTGAATATACTAACAACCACTAAACCATGTATAATAAAAGGACGAATCTCATGGTCTATGAATTATGCCTCAGTGAATCTGTAGGGTTGTTTTTAATTCACTGTTTGGGAGAGTCTGGAGTTCATTGCCACTCTGCTGTGGATAGGGTTGGGATTTTGAGGGCAATGGGGTACTGTCAATGGTTAAAAGCATGAGTTTTGGCATCACTCTCCCCTGAGTTCCAAAACTGCCTCTACCTTCTTTTTGTCTATAGAGCTTAGGATAAGGATAAAGGCCCTCCCGTTGTTCATCGATTTGCTCGAGTGGGCCCAGTAACATCTCCATTGGAGATTTTGTTGTTACTGTGTTTGGCATATCAAATACATCACGGGTGGCTTGCCAGGCTCTGCCGTGCGGGTGAGATACTCTTGGTAGCTTGCCGGGCTCTCCGAGAGGGGCGGAGGAATCAAACTCGGGTCGGCCATGTTGGCTGCATGCAAGGCAAACGCCCTACCGCTGTGCTATCGCTCCAACCCTGTAAATCTTAATTGTGGCATGCAGAAGATACTTGTGATCATATGGTCCTGTGCCTTGTGACGATTGAATAAAGCTGGTGCATTGGGATGAAGATAAAGTACAATGGGTAAGACTTGCCTTGCACACAGCTGACTTGGGGGGCTGAGCTCTAACACTGTACATGGTCCCCCAAGCACCAACAGAGGTGATCCCTGAACCCAGAGCCAGTAGTAAACCCTGAGCAGCTCCTCCTACAAAATATTGATGTAGATAAAGGTTGATCACAGAACCTGACATCCATGAGTACTGGAAAGTCAGTTGGTTACTGTTTGTTTTTTTTTTTTATCTTAGGCATTTCCATCCATGTCTCAACTTATGTCCCAGTTCTTGTTCTAATGTAACCTGGGCAAGTCTACTTATGAAGTCAGTAATTTAATCAGCTATGTCTTACTTCTAACTTGATTCCTTTCCTCTGTTTCCTCAGTGTGGGAATCATGAATATCACCAATTATACTCTTGTCACCAACAACTTAATAAAAAGAAGAGGAAATTAAGTTCAACTAGTTTGGGAATGCAAGTGACTTATCAGTAGAAATAAATTTGGAGCCCTCTTTACCAGGCTTGGAAATGATGCTGTCAGGCATGGGGCAAGAGACTATTTTTTAGGTACCACAGTAGAGCAGTGGTTCTAGCCTATTACAGGGTTGTCCAGTGTCCAATATTCTGTCTTCCCACATTGGCCATGACAGGTGCTTCGGGGAAGGCCATAAAACCCATTAGCATATTGATTTCCTACTCTTGTACCGGGGGACACATATTACCATCCCAAGCCCAGCTGGTCAGCCATACGTGCCCTGAACATTCAGCATTAATGTTCTCAAGGTAGTTTATATATTTAAACAAATTAATCTTTCTTCCTCTAAGAGGGTTACCTGATGTCCTTCTCCATCTGTGAGCTACAGCATTGGTTCCATATTGTCATATCTGTCCCGATTGACTTTATGCTTATTGTCATTTAAAAGTGTTGCACAATCAACCATTTATAGAGGACCAAACACATGCCAGGAATGGCTGTGAGACATTAGAGAGAAAGGAAAATCGGGATTGGTTTCTTTCTGAGAGCCTGAGGTCTACTAGAGTACATTTCTTCTTCTATATTAAAATTGACCTCCCTCAATAAGTTAAGTTTACCCTTCTTGGGGCTGGTGAGATAGTATAGTGGATTCTCACAGAACACAAAACCAAAATGAAACAAAGGTCTCTCCTCCTAGACATACAAACCCGGTAGGGGATAAATGCTGAAACAATGCTCAAGAATGAAACATTTTATTTATTCATTTTATGATTTTGGAGGTGTGTCACACATGTAGTGCTCAGAGCTTACTTCTGGCTATGCACTCAGGTATCACTCTTGACAGCCTTGGGAGACTGTATAAGGTGCCAGGGATTAAGTCTGGGTTGGCCATGTGCAAGGCAGACACTTCACCCACTGTACTATAGCTCCAGCCCAAGAATGGAAACTTTTAAAGCTCAACCAGACCACAACACAGCAATTGCATTGTCACAAAACCTGCACTTATATTTCACTGGCTAGAATTAAGATTTGGCACCTTGGCTAGGGAAGTTGGGATAGCTATTCATTTAATGAAGTGACAACTTGTCAAGATATAAACCATGGTTGTGCTCCTATGAAAGAGGGGGATGGTGACTTTTAGAAACCTATGAGCAGCTCTAGGGGAATCAAATGCTTTCCTATCTGTGTTTATGAACATCTTTGGTGGCCTCCAAAGCTTCCTTAGGGCACATGTGGGACTTGGGCCCAGATGGTAAAGCTACAAAGTGGGAGGGAACAGGTGTAGTTTCACCTGAGAGAACAGGAAACTCCGACATCCAAATTTGTTCATTGGCTTAACGATAAGTGAATGCTGGAGATGTTACTTAAGAAAAAAAACTGTTTTATAAGAATAATAAAGTGTTTGTAAGTCAGTGCTTTCCAAAAAATAACAAATTAATTAAAAAATTATAAGGCGGCCACAAAAATTGCTTGAAGACAAAAATCACCAATAATCTTTTTCCTTTTTGTTATTCAAGGCATAACATGTATGAAGAGAAACAAAATGCCAAGGAAAGCATATCTGAAAAGAAATCACTGGAGTCAGTCTTTCAAGTGCCAGGTGAAGGGTATAATAAGGCAGTGCTGGGCCCAGAGGTGGCAGAGGAGTGGCATGATGGCAAAAGAGCAAGAGACCATGGCATCATGCAAAGTCAAAGCTACCCTACATCACCCCAGGAGTAGGGTCTTCTTCTGACATCAGTTGTTCCCAAGACCAGAGGAAGAACGTTCCCCACCATTTGAGCTTTATGTCGAAAGGGTTCCTAGCCCTCGTTGGCCCACTCCATTCCATCGCAGTTCACCCCGTTCGTTCCTTTCCCCCTAAAACTCCCTAGCACGCAGGGAAAGGGTCTCGCAACGACCCTGCTGGCTCCAGAGTGCTGCTTTTACCCGGGGCCTTGCCCAAGTTCAGCGGCAGAAAGAGCCCGTCGGGATGTCGAGCTCACCCTCCCACGATCGCAAAGGCGCAGAAAGCACCCGAGGAGGCAGCACCCTCCCCATCACCCCCACCCCACCCCCACCCCGCACCCTCTCCCCCAGCCCACCTGGCCCAGCCCCGGCCAGCTAGGAGGCGGAACCGAGAAGGCGGCGGAACGCAGGCGTCAGGGGCCCCGGGGAGTGGCGGAACCTCGCGCGGCAGCACCCGCTGCACCGGGAACCGGAAGGCGGCGTTGGCGGAGGCGCCGGACTCTGTCCGGACGGACCCCGGGGCCGCCGCCACTTCCTGGTCGCACCTGGGCCGGGGGCCGCGGTCACCGCCGCGATGCTGCCCCACACCGTGAACTTCAAGGTGTCGGCGCGCATCCTCACCGGGGCGCTCAGCGCGCACAACCGGACGGCCGTGGACTGGTGAGGCGGCGGGACGCGCCCCCGGCAGGGCCCCCGGGCATAGCCCCGGGCAGGGTCGCCGGGCACCGCCCCCGGGCACGACCCCCGGCATGGCCGCCGCTCCCGGCCGGCCCGAGTCTGTCCCGATCGGTTCTGGCCCTCGTCCCCCTCCCGGCCCTGGCCCCGGCCCCCTCCCGGCCAGCCGCGTCTCTCCCGCCCGACCCTGCCCACCTCCTTGCCCGCTGGGCCTGTCCCTTCCGGGTCCTCTGTCGTCCCTCGCGGGGGAGACCCCTTGCGAGGCGCCGCTTCGCCCCCAAACCGGTGGTTCCACGTCTGGGAAACAACGTCCCTTTGGCCCCGGGCGGAGCTGGAGGGTTGGGGGGGAGTCAGGGGGGCGGGGCGGGCAATCACCTGGGCACCCTTGGGCCAGCGCTGGACTCTGCTCTGATGGCACCGTGGGAACGGATGCTTTGGAACGCGGGGCCCCAGGCCCCGTCTGTGCAGGTTCGGGATTCCAAGCCGAGTGACCAGGAGGGGCATGCATCCCGAGAGACGAGAGCAGCTGCTCTTCAGTTTTGTTTTCTTTCTTTTGCACCTGTGGACCAGCCCCGCCCGCCCGCCCGCCCGCCCTTGCACACGGATCCATGAATGGGCGCGTAGAAGCCAGGCTGGCAGACCAGTGGTCTCCAACCTTTCTGCATCTGCTGATTGGCCCTGGGTCTCTGGACTGCGGTGCATGTGTGCCTCTATAGTGGACAACCTGTCCTTTGTAAATCCTCATGTCTTTCTGTGTATGTCCTCTGCCTCCACCCCCCTCCCCACCTCCTTTTTTGAATCCTAAAGAAAAACAATTCCAAACCAGCGTTTTAAAACTTAGCTAGACTTTTTATTTAGCAGTGGGATGCTGATTGCACCCGATAATGCCTTATTGGGCTGGCACGATAGCACAACTGGTAGGGTGTTTGCCTTGCACGCGGCTGACCCAGGTTCGATTCCTCCGCCCCTCTCGGAGATCCCGGCAAGCTACCAAGAGTATCTCTCCCTCACGGCAAAGCCTGGCAAGCTACCCGTGACATATTTAATTTGCTAAACACAGTAACAGCAAGTCTCACAATGGAGATGTTATTTGGCCCGCTTGAGCAAATCAATGAACAATGGGAGAACAAGTGACAGTGACAATGCCTTATTGAGGATGTCTTGGCAAATGAGAAGTCTTGCTTTGTTTTATCCTTAAATTTTGATGTTCCTGTTTTTATTAGGGGCTGGCAAGGTTTAATTGCCTATGGATGCCATTCGCTTGTGGTAGTGATTGATTCCAATACTGCCCAGACGCTTCAAGTTTTAGAAAAACATAAAGCTGATGTTGTCAAGGTAAGTCAGAATCCACTTAACCTTTGTCGTATTGTGTATTCTAAAGTTTCAGATGTCACTAAGAGATTCTCACTTAAGTCACATGCTAAATATTGATGAGCTTTTACATGTAGTCATCTATTAACGTTTCTGTGTATATGATGGTATCTGTCCGGGATGAGCTGTTACGAATTAGTTCTTAGGTCATTTAAGCCTAATGGTAATGTACTTCCCAAACCATTCCTAGAGATCTTTTGTTTTGAGCCCGGAGCATGTATTGAGGATATGGAGGAATGGAAAGGAAACGCCCTTCAGTAGCTACTTGAGACTTGCACAGGCTCTGGAGGAGAAAGGTTCCACACGTCTCTTAGTTGTAGGGATCCAGGGGACCACAGACCTCTCAACTTAGAGATTGATGAAGAGAAGTTACCCAAGTGAGAAATGGAGGGTCAGAGGGGCCCAGTAGCAGAAAGGAGAGATTTACAGAAAGGTGTGAAGTGGCCCGAGAGCATGATACTCTGGTAGGAATGATGAAAGATGAGGCAGCCAGAGAGTTCTCCTCTTCTGAAAGGGTATTTTGGTTGTATTTAGGCCACACCTGGTGGTGGCTGAGGGACTCACTCTTGGTGGGCTTGAGGGACTCTTCTGGTGATTGAACCTGGGTTGACAGCAGGCAAAGGCAATTGCTTTACCTGCTGAACTATCTCTTCCATCCCTGGATTTTAGGGCTTTAGGGCAGTGCTCAGGAGTTGGGGCTCCCCTCTTGGATTCTCCGATAACCAGCTGGTGGTTCACTGTAAGGGTCTGATGATACAGTGCTGACTGGGCATCTGGGGCCATCCTGAGTTGCTCCAAGGGTTCCATGGCCCATCAGGAGGTGCTAGAGGAACGTGTGGTGCTGGGATTGAACCTGGGTCCGCTGTATACAGAGCATGGGCCCCAGCCCCTGGGCTGTGTCTGTTGGCCCTGTCCTAACAGGTTTATAAGAGCACAGAGGGACTTAGATTTGTAAATTGGAGGTTGATATGACTGTATGTGCATTTTAGAACTTAACTCTGGCAGCAGTGGAAGGTCTGTTGGAGAAAGACAGGATGGGGCAATGAGGCCATTTCAGGAACTTAATTTTGACAGGAAATTCTATGGGCCTACAAGTATTTAGGAGCTGTATAAGAGGTGAATTTGATGAATTTTAGGGAGAGTTGGAGACCAGAATGACCCCCTGGGTATGAGTAACTAAATGAGTGTCTTGCTGTGATAAAGGTGAGTACGTGTAAACTCTGGATTTAAAGTTTCCTAGGAAACCAGGAGAAATTACAGTGATCTTAAAATTTAGAAGAGGGGTTAGGATTGAAGGTCAAGACTTAGAATTTCGGTCTTGTCTTTAGTAACGACTTCAGTAAGCTACTCATACCATTAAATCCTCCCATTTCAGAGGAACATTCTTCTAGTTTTCGGTACATTCCCAGCACATCCCTCTCTTTGGCCGCCAGTGCTGGTGGTAAAGTGTCAGGGCCTGAAGATACATGATGAGAGCCCTGTGGGGGCAGGAGCACCTGGGCCACCCCGTGGTGCCTGGGAGCCTCCAGGCCACATACAGCAGTGTTGGGGGCTCTCGGGCTGCAACTGGTGGTGCTTGGGGAACCATGTGGTGCTGGGCATGGAGCTGAGGTTGGTCGCATTCTAGGCAGGCATCTTAACTTCTGTCCTGTCTCTCTAGCTTTCGGTGTGTGACATTCGCTGTCCTATCACCACCACCACAATGCCCATGACTCTCACCCACTATTCTTATGTCCCAGGAGAGCTAATTTTTTCTTTGGTATTTTGTGTGCTTTTTAAAAAATTTTCTTGCCATATTACATTGGCTAGGGCCTCTGCTACAATAAATAGCAATAGTAAGAGAATACTCTTGTTTCTGAGCCCAGAGGGAAAAATTCAGTCTTTTTCATGAAGTGTAACATGAAGTCTGGTGTTAAGTATCTTTTTTTTTTTTTTTGAGAAAAATATATTATTTTCCCTTATCCCACAAACTCCACTTCTGGAGTTTTTCACATGCTTATTTTTATTTATTTTTAATGTAGGAGTATTGCTGTTTATTCAGCCATTGATTATGCTGATTGAGTTGGGCTTGAACTCCACATTAACTTTTTAAAGCACTGTCTGTCCTCCCATTGTTCATCGATTTGCTCGAGCAGGCACCAGTAATGTCTCCATTGTGAGACATACAGTTTTGTCATATCAAATATGCCATGGGGAGCTTGCCAGGCTCTGCCATGCGGGCGAGATACTCTTGGTAGCTTGCCAGGCTCTCCGAGAGGGACAGAGGAATAGAACCCGGGTAGACTGCATGCAAGGCAAACGCCCTGCCCAGTGATAGCTGTGCTATCATTCCAGCCCACTTTTTAAAAAAATTTTTTAATTGAATATTCGTGAGATAGACCATTACAAAGCTGTTCATGATTGGGTTTTACTCATACAATGATCCAGTGTACATTTCCCACCACCAAAATCCCCTGTTTTCCTCCCACCATCCTCCAAGCCCCCATTCCCAGTCTTTCTCTATGGGAGGCACTTTCCTTCTTTCTCTCTCTCTCTCTCTCTCTCTCTCTCTCTCTCTCTCTCTCTCTCCTTTCCCTTTTGTGTATTATGGTTTGCAATACAGGTGCTAAGAGGTATTTGTTCAGGGCATTTGGTATTTTTATCAGGACAGTAAGGCTGGAGTAGCTTTTAACTGGGTGGCTACTTTGGGGTATGGATGTGACTGCTGAGGCTTCCAGAAATACAGGGAGGTGGGGCGGGGGGAGGTAGCCCATTCTCACCCAGAAAAGGCCTGGAAATTTCAGTCACATAACCCATATACCCAAATTTTTAGCAGATTTTAGATCCCGAGACAGTAGAGTCAGGCTGGGGGTGTGGTGGCAATATTGGATTGTGGAAGCAAGTGGCTGCCAGGGGCTCGGCTTGGGTGGGCTTCAGGCTGACCCACCACCCTCCAATTTAGCCTGGTCTGTTCAGCCACTTGTGGTCTGAGATTAATTGTGACTTTTGTTCTCTTTCTAGATTTATTTATGGGTCTCTGAAATAGGACCAGTAAATGAGCTTGTATAGCTGAGCTGGAGGTGGTTTGTGGGCGTGGCTCTCACACACCTAACTTGGTAAACTTGGTTCCAAGTTGTTGGGGTCCGGCCAAAGGCACCATCAGGCTGCTGATGCACTCACCCCACAGGTACAGGTTGACCTGCTGGTGGCACCAAACCCCTTTTTTCACATGTTTAGATGTAAGATATAGTCTAGTATTATATTCCCATTGTTTACATGGTTTTCTTTGAACACTTGAGATACATAGTGAGCTCTTGTTTGATTCTTTCAGTTTTTGTTTGTGGAAACTTTTTAGTCCTTCTAATGTTTTTTTCTTGTAATACTATAAAGATAAGACTTCATTTATCTTCCAGCTTGCATACTTTTTAAGTGAAAAATTGGTGTCTTTGTTTTTTTTTTTTGCTTTCTGGGTGACACCCAGCAATGCTCAGAGGTTACTCTTGGCTCTGCATTCAGGAATTACTCCTGGTGGTGCTGGGGGAACCATATGAAATGCCGGGGAATGAACCCATGTGCAAGGCAAATGCCCTACCCGATGTACTGTCACTTCAGCTCCATTGGTGTCTTTGTTTCTCTCTATGCATTGCTTCTTTTCCTTTGGGGCTGCTTCAAAATCTTCTCCTTGATTCTAAATAGTTTGGCTATGTAGCTATATGGTTTTTAAATATATACACTGCTTGAGAGTCATATCAAGGAATTCAAGCAATATAAACAGATAGCTTCTGTAGATTTAAGAGTACACACTCAAATCTACAGATGTGTATCCATATGTGTACAACCAGTTTTTACTGTATAATGCTGTTGGAAATACTGAAATAGTTATTGCTTTTAGGATTATTTCATATATTCAGTCACAAATTTTTTTTTGAGTCCAACTCCTTAACCCTTCACAGTAGGTCACAATACTTTTTGTCAGCAGATCAAACTGTATCCCATCTTATATGTGTTTCTATTAGAAGAAATCTTACTCTGTATGGTTGGTTCATTGGCGTTGAACTATACCTTCAGTTTGATGGAAGGCTCTTCTGTTGCCTGCTTTCCTCTTAAAGCACATCTCTGTTTCCTGCCCTTAGGAACAGCAGACAGCCTTGCATGCAGCAGCTTGCTTAGGGACCACTTTAAATAGTGAAGTTATCTGAAAGAAAAGCAAAACTAGATGCAAAAGTAGCCCACATGGAAGGCGCTTGTTTGCATCATCAGAGCTGAGATGCTGTGTTCTCAGCTGGGAATGCACAATGTGCGGGACTCTGATTTGTCACTGCTCTGCAGAGGTGTCCGAGAATGGCAGTGAAACACTGGAGATACTGATTTTGCAAATAAAATCACAAGTGGATTTTATAATGAGTCGAGTGAATAGACAAATTGAAAAAGCCACAGTAGTTGTTAATGATGAGGATCGGCTTCATCTATAATCTGGAAAATAAATCATAAAGACATGTCTAGAATATGCTCGTATGTCACGTGACGACTGGTGGAGGACAGACCATGGCATGTCCATTGATGGCTTCTGAAGACCAGGAATGTCTATGGCCATAGCATCCTGAACACGCCTGATGTTGTCTGAAGACCAGGAATGCCCTCCCCTCAGTAGGACTGGAGCGATAGCACAGCGGGTAGGGTGTTTGCCTTGCACATGTTCGACCCTGGTTCGATTCCTCCGCCCCTCTTGGAGAGCCTGGCTAGCCACCGAGAGTATCACGCCCGCACAGCAGAGCCTGGCAAGCTTCCTGTGGCGTATTTGATATGCCAAACACAGCAACAAGTCTGACAATGGAGACGTTACTGGGCCTGCTCGAGCAAATCGATGAACAACGGGAGGACAGCGCTACAGTGCATTTTATGCCAAAGGCCTTGAACACCCACCCCGCCCCCTGCACCCTTTTTTTTGGGGGGGGAGGGGCGCTTTGGGACACCCAAACCAAACCAGTGCTCAGGGCTTACTCCTGGGACTGCCCCTGATTTGCCATGTGCAAGGCAACCACCCTCCCTGCAGTGCTGAAGTGCCCATCCCCCTGGACAGCTAGCCCCTTTGCCCATGTTTCTCGTACTGGCATTCTTTCACGTAATCTCATGTTTGCCCATCTAGTCCCCTAAGTGCACAAAATCCATCGCTCTTGCTGCCAGTCAGAAACCACATCAAGTGATGGACCTGGAAATAAACTGATGAAGGGCCGCAGAAGAGGGAGATAATGGATATTGCTCCATCATTCAGCCATGTCCCATCCCACCACATTCACCGTCATGCAGTGCAAGAACACAGTGATGGAAGCAGCTAACGGCCCTACTTCATTGGAAGCGGTGGGACCGACAGATCTCGGCAAGGTCAGTGTCAGATGTGGAGGAGGACTGGGACTAAAGGAAAAGCCTCCCCGTAGCACCTTGGTGCTTGCACCTGAAGCACAGCACCTGTTGGTCGTGATGAAAGCTAAGGCTGGCTCCGGCAGCGTGGTTGAGTTGGCTGCTAGCTGTGGATGGCTCCAACCAGCGGTTTTCGTTGTTTCAGGCCCGTGGACAAAGGGAAGACACTGGTGTGCATGGATCAAAATGAAAGCCAGTGAGGAATCTGCGAATGCCAGGATGAGGGAGGGCAGCTGAAACATCTCTGGAAACACTCAATCCATCGCTTGTAGGGAAAAGTGACTTGGTCTGAACAATTGTGCAGTTTGGACAAAGCCTCCCTATTCTGGAAACAGATGCCTTAGAGGACTCTTTTTTTTTTTTCTTTAGGAGATCAAATTTCATGGCCTTAAAAGACAAACTAACAGTTTTACTGGGGACTGTGTTGCTGGCTAAAAATTAAAAAAACCTCTGTGATCCTGCCCAGGGAAGACCTCAAGGCCTTTGGGCGAGTGCACTTGCAAACTCTGCCCGTCCAGCACGCAGATGTTTCTGAAGTGTCTGTTGTCTTGAAACCACCTTTGGAACTGTATTTGTTGAACTCTGCTTTTGGGCACCAGGCCGTGACTGAGACTTGGGATATGAATAAGGCTTGTTACAAGGCTGCAGGAGCTTTCAATTCCTGGGTCATTGATAAGTTGAAACGAGGTAAAAGGGAGCAGTGACTTGGTCAAGAAAACAAGAAACCTAATCATCAACATGTCACATCACAAATTACGACTTGGTTAAGAAAACAAGAAGCAGAGGAAGAGGGGAGGTCATGACCAAGTTCCTGGGCAGCGGAGGCCTTGGCTCAGCGGTGGAATGTGTTCTAGTCCCAGTGCTGGGGTTAGGTTCAGCCTGATTGATGCTGGCGTTGTGTTTCTGTTTTATTTTTTTATTTCTTTGAGCATGAAAATAAAGTCTTTATTTTCAGTTATTACCCACCAATAAGAGGAAGTTAGGGTCACAGTTTTAGCTCTTGACACAAAAGTAAACAAGGCGGCAAATTCACATCCATCAGATATAACTAATGTACCAACTTTTTAAACTTTAGGCTATCTTGAAAGTTTGCAACATACCAGATATTGCTATGTATTCTCTAGTGACGAGAGGCCAGCAATGGCTGGCTGCAGAACTTGTGAAGCACTTTTAAAAGCAGGTGTTTTCTCTATGTTGCTAGAAACCAGGATGTTTATAAACATGGTACATGTCCAGAAACAAGTCAAGGCACTTGAAAGTCTTGACACACTTATGGGAGCGTGTATGTTGCGATCTCAAGAGGGGTCACTAGTCCATTCACAAGGACTAGACTAATACTTACCTCTGGGTAGTAGATATGTAAATATAAAACTATACTGGACATTAGCACCAGTGCAGATGTGTTTCTAAGTTAGCGGGCCCAGGGATGTAGCGTATGTGGTAGAGCTCGTGACTGGCTTCTGGGAGGGCCTAAGTTCAACCCCTGGCACCAAATCCCCGGGATGTGACCATGTGGACTCCAAAGCACCTCTGGTGGCCCCTCCCCTTAGCAACGCACCTCTGGTGGCCCCTCCCCTTAGCAACGCACCTCTGGTGCCCCTTCCCTTAGCAACGCGCCTCTGGTGGCCCCTCCCCTTAGCAACACGCCTCTGGTGGCCCCTCCCCTTAGCATGCACCTCTGGTGGCCCCTCCCCTTAGCATCGCTGAGTGTGACCCCTATAAAAATTCTGTTCTTGTGTTGCTAGTGTATAAGACACACTTATTTTTTTTAAAAAAAGAATAAACTTAGATATTTAAACTTAGATGTCTTTTCAACTTCATGGAAGACAGGGATTTTAGATGTGGCATGTTAATATTTTTCCCTATCTTTTCCTTCACAAGGTTTTTGCGTATTTGTCCTATTTAAGTTGGATGAAGACCCTACAGAAAAACATTTCCTTCCACGTTTTAGAACATCAGTTGTTGTTAGTTCACAGTTTCTTGATTATTCTACCATACTGTTTTGTGGTCCGATAGTCTGGTAATTTCATCTGGATCTCTCAAAAAATCGAACTCTGCATCATTTCTCATTTTAAATGTAGGACCCTTAGTGTGTTTTAAAAGAAGTTGAGGTCCATTATGTTTGGCGAAAAAAAAGGTGAAAATGTTTAACTTTCTAGAGAGAAGGCAGTTTCCTCGTATTTGCATGTTTCGATTTGTGTGCCGTCAACAGGGAATGTTGTATGGATTCTAATGTCTTTTAGTAAATGTCTTATGAAAGTTACGTTAAGGTGTCTCCAGGGCAAGTATTTACTTGGTTTGATTTTCTTCTTGATACTAGGTTAAATGGGCCAGGGAAAATTACCACCATAACATTGGCTCACCATATTCCTTGCGCTTAGCTTCCGCCGACGTCAGTGGGAAGATCATCGTGTGGGATGTTGTCGCCGGCCTGGCGCAGTGTGAGATCCAGGAGCACGCCAAGCCCATTCAGGGTGAGCACGGTCCACCACTGCGGACTTTCCCCACTCAGCTTAGTTTACTTCTGACTTTTTAAAATTTTTATTTAATTTCGAGTTTTATTGGTGACACTTTCATACATATTTTAATTGAATCGCTTTGAGATAGACCCTTACAAAGCTGTTGATGGTTAGGTTTCAGTCATACAGTGTTCCAACACCAGTTCCTTCATCAGTTTAGATTTCCCAGCACCAGTGTTCCCAGGTTCCTCCCATCACCCCTAGCCTTTCTCTATGGCAGGCACCTCTCTCTCTCTCTCTCTTTCTCTCTCTCTCTCTCTCTCTTTCTCCCTCTCCCTCTCTCCCCCTCTTAATTTCCTCTCTCCTCTCTCTCCTCTCTCATTATAAATTTCATCTCTTCCCAGCTTATTCCACTGTGTTCAACCTGTTTTCCTGAGCCACAGCTAACCTTCCTTTTTCTTATCAGTATACTTTTGAGTAGAATTACTCAAGTCTCAGTTGATTTCTGCCTTGGTTAGGTGAATGTTTTCAGCATCACCCTCCGTCAACTATTGTGAGAAAATTAAGCTTCTGCAGTCTTGTCACCTAAGCTAAATATAAGTAAACATGGCAGATCGCCTTTGAATTGGCCTTCAAGTACTTTCCACTAATTGAGGTGATCATATTTTTTTAAAATTTTCATATCGATGGTTCCTTTACTTGTTTGTTTGTGTTACTGACCGAAACTCAAGATGGTGGTTCTTAGACCCAGTGAGTGGCTGTCATGACTGAGTGGATTTTTCAAATGGGCGTTAATAAAATATTTTAAGCACTTGCTATTTGCGATGACCATTAATAAAATAAGGACTTGCTATTTAGTGACCGACCTAGATTTTTATCCTGTTTATCCTTGTCGGAAATCATGAAACTCTGCAAAGTGCCATTCATTAACTCCATTTAAAAGATCGTGAGAAGCATCTGGGCATTATCAGTCATGGTGAGGATAGTCTTGGACATAAAGTTTTAAAGTGACGATCGGCTCAGAACTCCTTGAGTTTTCTTTAAAAGCATAGATCAGATCTCTTGAAAACGTTGTACGGTTTTAATATCCAGATGTTCAAAGACTCACTTCTCTATAGCATGAGCTGCTTTCTTTGGCCTGGACACACAGGAGTACGCAGCGTGGGGCAGAGTTAGGGTCTGAGTGTTTTATGGGAGACAAGATGTCACTATGAGAGACACACTCGCCGAGTGCTTTGGAAGTGATGGATTTCTGAATTTTGCCCTTCCGCGTGTGGTCCGAGCAGATGTGCAGTGGCTGTGGAATCAGGACGCGTCCCGAGACCTGCTGCTCGCCATCCACCCTCCCAACTATATCGTGCTCTGGAATGCAGACACGGGCACCAAACTCTGGAAGAAGAGCTATGCGGACAACATTCTGTCCTTTTCTTTTGACCCCTTTGACCCTTCGCATTTAACACGTGAGTACTTGTTTCTACAGGAGCTGGTCAGTCACTCTAGTATAGTGGTTCTATATATTTAAGATGACTGTTTAAGTGGATTTGGACTCAGGAAAGGTGAAATACGCCCTTAGATGGAATTCTACCCTTGGGCGGATTTCCTCGAAGGGTGAGATTTTGTCCCGGAAGAAACTCCCCCCCTTAAGGAAGGGCTTTACTTATGTTGATCGTGCAACTATGCCTATGTGTAATTGCTAGCCCCTGTCCTTCACGATTTTCTCTATAACTAACGCTGGGAGACGGAAATGAGGGGCAGCGTGAGACTGGAATGGCAGCGAGATGGAATAAACACCAGCTGATAACCAACCAGTTCCTCCCCACCCCACACCCCCTCCATTCACCGTGGGTGGGGAGGCGGCTCTTGGCCACCAAATGCATGCAATGAACACCCACGCTTTTTTTTTTAATTTTATAAAGTAGTTTACAATATTTGATTACATTTAATATTCAAACACCAATCCCACCACCATTACACCTTCCCACCACCATATTTTGGGTGTTTCCATCCCGAATCTCAAAGCAGAACCAAAATAATATAATATTTCCCTCTAAGGTTGGTTGCCTCCTACTTTAAATCACATCAGATGTGGTGTGGTTCTCTTGGATTGTGGGTAGGGTGTGTCCCGTGAAGTGTTACGTGGCTGCATTCGCAGGTCCCAGGAAAGGTTCACTTGTAGGTGAGACTTGGCCCACACATGTGGAGAGTGGCCCTGAGCATGGCCCTAAGTGGTTGGGTGCTGGAGGTTTTTGGCTGCTGAGGCTGGATCCCTTGGGGCGGGGAGAGGTCTCACCCTGCGGGATCTGGCGGCATGGTTATCAGCCACACTTTTTGAACTCACAGTATAGAATTGCAGTCGACACTGGGTGCAGTATTCACAAGAGACACATACACACGGTGTTTGTCGATGATGTGCGAATGAGCGCAGTACATTTTAGTTGGTGTTGAATTCTAGCCCATAATTACCCAGCCCCTAAACCATAACCCCCATAGCATTCCAAGTATTTTAACGGTTAGAAATTGAAACCCGGAAGCTGCACCTTCTCTGAGCTGTGTTTGTGAATAGAATAAGCTTAGCCGTGGAGAGGGACTGCGTTTTTCTGATGCAGACCTCAGTATGTTTGTTTTTCTAGGAACCTTGTAAAGCTTTACGTAGTATATGCCCTTCCTTCCAAAGAGTTCCTTTGCTCTGTGCCCTGCATTTGAGGGCCGGAAGGCACTTAGGAAGCCCATGGGGATTTTCCGTGCACATTGTTTTTTTTTTGCCAACGTGCTTTTAATCTTTTACTGAGCCACTGATGGTAAAATTAGATTTCTGTTTTTGATACTCTTGTGACTAAATTATTTAGAAAACGTTCTTGAGTTTTCTCTCAGGTGTCTCTGGAGCTATGGCTGTATGTCACACACGTGCTGGGCACCTGGGATATATCTGACCTGAGACAAGGATTCCTTTCTCCAGGGAGGTTGGATCCTGGTGCGAGGGAGTTGGATTGCGAACAAACCCTTGACATCCAAGCTGTGCTGGGTTAGTGTCGTCAGGTGCCCAGGGCCAAGAGGGCTGGAAGAAGCAGAACAGGGCGAAGGGAATGAGAGGGGATTGGCAGGTTGGTAGAAGCAGCAGCCCAAGCCGGGCTCCATGTGGATATTTGATCAAAATTCTGTGGTGGAATTAGCCACGGAGAAGCGCATTTACCTGTTTGTAATGGCTCAGAATTCTCACTTGTATCCAACAATATCCTTTTATCTGTACATGTTCGGGGCCTGCCTAGCACTGTCAGGGGACCCGGCACCCTTGCCTGCTTATTTGGCTCACCAGCTCCGTGCTGGGGCCCTGTGAAGCAGCACTGCTGTCCTGAGGTGCTGGGGCTGGGGCAGGGGACGCCAGGGTCACGGCCACTGATGCTGGGGATCCCAGCGTTATGCCCAGGAATTCTCAGAAGTCCAGGTGGCGCTTACAATCACCTCCTGGTGCTGTTGCAAGGCCCTCCTTCGATGGGCCTCCCAAGCAGTGCTTAGGGAGCCAGGGGTACTCCTGGACATCCTCAGCAGGACAGGTCCGGCTTGGACCCCAAGCGGTGGTGCTGTTTGGGCTCAGAGAACCACGTGGTGCTGGGGATCGAACTCTGCTCCTTGGCCATGCCAGGCACGCGGCCCTGTCCTCAGCTCCCTTCCCGGCCCACCAGCATTTGCCAAGGGGCAAGGCCGACTAGAAGAGGTGGAAGGGACATTCCGCTGAGCACTGGAGTGTGTGCTCTGCACAGACACACGCTTCTGTGTGCTGAGGGCCACAGCAGCTTCTGACGTCATGACGCTCAAGCCGGAAGCGAGTGGCTGGAAGGATCTCGAGTTCTGGGCTCTGGTGTCTGGGTCTGGATGCATCTCTGTCCGTGGTTGGCTGCCAGAAAGCTGAACCCCTTTCTGGCTTCCATCTACCCAGCATCTTCCTGCTGTATCAGCGGGCCGGACTTGTAACTTGAAGACTTGGTGTTCCCTCGGCCTCAAGTAGCCCCATCGGCTGCAGGGGCCCAGGGAGGCAAGTGTCCCATTCCCACCACTGCATTCCTTGGCCCTGGTTTAGGGGTGGACCGTTTTTACAGTCGCAGAAAGGCACCATTTGTATGGCAAACTGTGACGTTGTGTCCTTGAGTGTGTTTCCTGTCTGCTCAGTAAGCCTCTGTTCACATCTGCTGTTACTCTGTAGAAAGAGAAAATGAACCTCTTTCCCCATCCAAAGGCCGATTCTCTGGAAGGAAAGCTGCTGAATTCAGACCGAGGAGCTCAGGAGCACGATGAAGAATCAGTGTCCCCAGACCCTGGGTGTGAGATGCAGACCCTCTTCTCTGGCATTTTCTCCTTTCACATGATTTTTATTTTTTATTTTATTTTATTTTATTATTAGTGAAACACCATGAGGTACAATCATAGACTTACACATTTTTGTGTTTGGGTTTCAGTTATACAATGATCAAGTACCCATCCCTCCACCAGCGCCCATCCTCCACCACCACGGGTCCCAGCATCCCTCCCACCCCCCATCCCCCCATACCACCCTGCCACTGTGGCAGGGCATTCCCCTTTGTTCACTCTCTCCTTTTGGGTCCTGTGGTTTGCAAGAGAGGCATTGAGTGGCAATCATGTTTGATCTATAGTCTACTTTCAGCATACTTCTCCCACCCTGGGAGGATCCTCACAACACCCTTTATTTGGTGCTCTCTTCTCTATCTGCGCTTCCTTTTCCCCTAACACGTGTGGCTGGCCTCCAAGTCATGGAGCAAAATTCCTGGTACTAATCTCGGCCACTCCTTGGTGTTAGTCTCCCATTTTGTTACTTTATCACATGATTTTTATACTCAGGAAAGTCTGTGGGAGCTGAAGCGACAGGCTATCCTAAGGAACGGTTTTTAATGAACGTCCATGCACTGAATTGATTTGCAAGAACAAACATTTGCTCTCTCTGCCAGTAACCTTCTGGTATCGTTTTAATATAAAACATTAATTTCGAGGGCTCAGTTGGGCGGCCTCTGATGAATTGTGATGGTCCACCAGTTTCCCTGCCGCCTGCGGAACATTCCTTACGACTTGCTCAGCAGTGCCAGTATTCTTCCAATATTATTCCGATCGTCATTACCGTGCTCTCAGAATGGTACTGGAGTGAGGCTCTGCTAAACTTGATTAAACTCTGATCAGAGTTCTGCTTCTCCCAATCTAGTCCTGACCAGCGAGGGCATCGTGTTCATCTCGGACTTCTCCCCGTCCAAGCCGCCCGCCGGCCCTGGGAAGAAAGTGTACATCTCCAGCCCACACTCCAGCCCCGCGCACAGCAAGCCACCTGCAGCCACAGGCGCCAAGAAAGCGCTGAATAAAGTCAAGATCTTAATCACACAAGAGAAACCGAGGTAAGGGGCCGGCGTGCCACTCACGGGAGGCGAACGTTACCATCTACTCATTCAAGACATTTTGGGCCATGTTCTAAGATAAGATTTTATTCTTTATCTCAACCTCTCTTGATGCTAATTTTGAGGGGGGGAAAAAAAGTTTTCTTTGATGGCTGTACCCAGTGGTGCTCAGGGCTCACTCCTAGGGAGCCAGATATGGTCCCGGGTTTTGAACCCTGTGCAGGCAGCTGTCTTATCCCCTCTCTCCAGAGACTAGTTTTGAATTTGTTTGACAGAAATGATTTGTTTTGGGGCTGGAGCAATAGCACAGTGGGTAGGGCGTTTGCCTTGCATGCAGCCGACCTAGGTTCGATTCCCAGCATTCCATATGGTCCCCTGAGCACTGCCAGGAGTAATTCCTGAGTGCATGAACCAGGAGTAATTCCTGAGCATCGTTGGGTGTGACCCCAAAAGAAAAAAAAAATGATTTGAGTGTTTTTTTTTTTTTTTCAGTTTCTCTGTCCTTAACTAAGTTCCTTTGTTTTCACTAGTGGGCTCCATGCTGCCTTTCTCCTCCGCCCTCACCCCCCATGGAAATTCCTGAGTTTTACTCATGTAGATATGAGTAGGGGGTTCTAATATGGGGACCATTGAAGTTCTTCAAAAACTGGGGGAATGAAACTGGGTTTTCATTTTAAATACGCTGTCCTCACCCTGCCTGTGGGATCTGTTGGTCCCCTCAGGTACAAGCCTTGCCTGTCAGGGCTCAGGCTTCCGGGAGGGGCTTTCTCGGTGCCTTTCAGAGGATTCTGTAACTTCGCTCAAATCTCACTTTCCCAGACTCTCAATGTAGAGTTTAAAGCATCTCACGAGGTTGTTGAAAGTATTAATAAATCTGGTGACTTGAGTGCTTATCAACATGACTGATACTTGGGAACTGTTCATTTCTTTTTTATTTTGGGTATTGCAACTGCGTAAAACTTTAAATGGCTAATTTACACATTAGAATAAATTCTTTTTTCCCTTAGAGCTGTGACCTGATATTTTTATTGCCTTACCAGTTCAATCTGGTCTTCATCTTTAAAACTCTTCCATTTTCATTATTCATTTATTACCATGCTTCAGGCCCCATGTTTACAGTAGTGCTGATGTCACGGTTTTTGTGTACAGTTACTGCCCCTCACAGCCACCCATGTCTTTGTGTCACTTCTAGTCTGCCCCTTGTCTCCTCCCACTTCTTGCCCTCAGTTCTTGGTAATGAGTTTTATAATACATTTTTTAAAAAAAAACTTTAGTTTATATGCTAAGGTTATTCTCTCTAGTCTAGGTGATTTTTTTGGGAGGGGGCACCCAGACTTGGCAGTGCTCAGGGGATACTCCTGGCTCTGCACTCCGAGAAGGCTCAGGGGGGACCATATTGGGTGCCAGGAATCAAACCTGAGTCAGATGTGAGCAAGGTAAGCGCCCTGCCTGCTGTACTATCGCTCCAGACCCCTAAACTAGCTGATCACCAGAGGAATTTATGATAAGATGCAAATTGCTATATAAGTCCATTCTGAGTATCTATGTAAATAGCATTTTCACATATAAAATCTAAGCCGTTCTAGTTTTTCTCATACTCTTTGTTCAAATAAATTATTCTTCCTTATATATTTTAAGTTGGTGGGTGTAACGCCTAGCTACTGGAAGATGGAGGATCTGGGTAGAGAAGGCCCAGTCCCGATCTGAGCAGGCTTGGAGATCTCAGCCCCGGGTCCGTGCACCTGGGTTCCTCTTCTGGTTCTTTCATGCGTGAAGCTCGTCTGAGTGTGTGGAATATGGTCTTAGCATGGCTATGGCTAGGTTCCGGAGGTCTTCAGCTGCTGGGGCTCTTCTCGGGGCAGGGAGGGAAACTCAGCCCGCCCCCCTCCAAGGGGCCCCGGTGAGGACAGCCAGGCTTGGGGGCAGGAGACTAGGTGGAGGTCCTCTTATTGTCTAGTTTTTGCTCCCAGAGAATCCGGCAGGCTACTGAAAGTATCCTGCCCGCATATATATGCCTGCCTGGGAATACCTGTAAAGGTGATTAGAGGCTGCCCCAAAAGTCTCCATCACTCTTGAAGGCCCAGCAAGCTACTGAGAGTATCCTGTCTGCACAGCAGAGCCTGGCAAGCTACCTGTGGCATACTCCATATGCCAAAAACAATAACAATGATGGTCCTCTGTAGGATAACACTCTTTTGCCCTTCCTCAGGTAGCTTAGGTTTCTCAGGTCACACCCATCTAAGGACACTGAACTTGTAAGCAATGTCCTTTCTGTATGAGCACAGTAAGAGATATAAACTTAGTTTGGATCTTCCTGAGAACATCTCACTGTACATTCCACAGTCCTCAGGCCAGGTTAATCTTCCTAGCTCCAGCAGGGTCCTAGTCTCGTCGTTACTTACTTTTGGATCATGCCAGCATTTGTCCATGATCATGCCCTCAACTTATAGTTGAGTATCGTGGCTCTTTGGCCTGGCCCATTTCGATGCCAGGGTAGCTCACAGCTTGCCCTGGGTCCATTCAGTCCCTCGTCGGGACCCTGCTTTTGGGGTGCTAGGAACTAAGGGCAACTGAGTCAAGAAATCAGATGCCCAGGAGTAAATATGATTCGGAGTCAACCAACTCCCAAGTTACAAAGCATAATATTAACTGTCTTCCTGTGTCCACACAGAAAGGACATTGCTTACAATACAAGTTCAGTGTCCTTAGATGGGTGTGACCTGATAAACCTAAGCTACCTGAGGAAGGATATAAGAGTGTTATCCTACAGTCCTCATTCCCCTGACCCTGAAAGAGCCCCCAATATGCCATCGGGCTACACTAGCACGTGACAGGGACGAATGGAGACATTATTGGTGCCCGCTTGAGCAACTCAATGAACAACGGGATGACAGTGATATATTTTAAGAGAGCCTGCCTTTTTTATTATACTACGTCATACCTAATTATTTTGTCATCCGAATTGTTTTGTAAGGTTAGACTTATGGATGTTCTGTTTTCTCCAATGAACTCTGCTTATGCTGTACTCTTGCTCTAGACCCTAGAGCCAGGCTCTTATGCACTCATGCTCCCCTTTCTTGTTCTCTACGCCGTAAGACCTCTTCTAAAGGTATAACATACAAAGAAAATAGCAGTAATTATGTCTATTCTGTTGAAGTACATTTCAGCATATAGTCTCATCTATCTCATTGACACAAGGAAATGCTGTGACTGCGGACTGGAATGGATCTGGGCTTAAGACAGCAGAGACAGGAGCGAAGGCAGCGTAGAGGGGCCTCTCGGGCCCTGCAGAACCGCCTCTGGCTCCAGTCGCCTGCTTACACCAGTCCTCACCTTGGGTCTCACGGTCCTCACCTTGGCTTACACGGTCCTCACCTTTGGTCTCAATTTCAGCTCTCTCCAATCCTTTTAATTTCAAGACCCAGAAAACAAAAGAAAAACGAAACTGTCTTCCCTGTAATGCTTTTCAGAGTATTAATGTTTGCAGAGTTCCAGAAACACGTCTCTCCCAGCCTGTATAATACTGTCATCATATGGGACTCGGTCTGGTTTTTGTAAAGGATTAACTTTTGAGGGTTCGCCCAGGTTAACCATGTCTTTCTCAAGAACATTTATCAATCAGGACAGTGCGAAAGCCAGTCCTTTGCTCGGTTTCTGACATGAATAGAGCCTTGGAGTCAAGGAAAGGTCTTGTGCATTTCAGTGCCGAGTTCGTCACTCTGAACGATTGCCTGCAGCTGGCCTATCTGCCCTCCAAAAGGAACCACATGCTGCTGCTCTACCCAAGGGAGATCCTGATCCTCGACCTGGAGGTCAACCAGACCGTGGGTGTGATTGCAATAGAACGAACTGGAATTCCGTTTCTGCAGGTACCTCGAGTTTATCTGACACATTCTCCAAGCTTGGTTGGGAGTGGGGGAGGGAGAGAAAAGGCATCTTCTCGTGGACGGAAGGAAGATGCCATGAACACTCATTAATCTTTCATATCCGTTTCAAGAGGAACAGTGTTACTTTATGTCGCTTTGTATTTTTTCCTGTACTTTTGATTGCATTAGTTCATCGTAGAAATTCTCTGACTTGGAGATATATACTAGACTCTTTTCTTTCTTTTTCTTTTTTTTTTCTTTTAGATTATAGTGAAACTTTAAAATATTTTAAATTGGGATTATTTTTGAGTTTTTATTTTCTTGTGTTTTATCCATATCTTCTAGGAATTTGTGAGGTTCCCAGTGCATGCTTTCTTAATTTATTATTAAGTTCTTAAAATTAATACATCATCTATTTCAAGGTAATACCCTGCTTTCAACGTGATGGCATATTTTGCCTACATGAAAATGGTTGTATAACCTTACGTGTTCGAAGATCTTACAGTAATGTTTTCACCTCTTCAAATGACGAACCAGGTCAGTTTGTATCTCACAATAATGTTTACTGCTTTTTCTGGAAAGTTAAAAAGTTCCATGTAGCAAATATCAGACACACAAATCATAGCTGATGAGAATCTCTGCCTTGAGAAAGTAGAGTGTGATTCGCATCTGGCTCTTGAGCCGTTGGATTCATCTCAGTATTGTTAAGGAGAGAGATACTGAGAGTCCTTCTGGCAGTACCCTTGAGCCAATAGATACTTCTTCTGAGTTTATTTTTTAGCACAAGTCCAACATTGTATCACCCTTTATTATTGTATCCCTTTCACTTCTCTGCTGTAGGAGTTTCTGTTATTTTTTTTTTCTTTTTGGGTCACACCTGGCAATGCACAGGGGTTACTCCTGGCTCTGCACTCGGGAGTTACTCCTGGCAGTGCTCAGGGGACCATATGGGATGCTGGGAATCGAACCCGAGTCGGCCGCATGCAAGGCAAACGCCCTACCCACTGTGCTGTCTCTCCAGCCCAGGAGTTTCTGTTTTAAAGTCACATCATTTCCTAAGCATTCAGTTGTCTTGGGGAGTAAAAAAGATTGTTTTGAAATGATGTACCAAGGAAAGGTTGAAAGTGACTGTCCGCACGTAAAGTCGAATTGTTTTGGGGCTTATTATAGGCATTTCTGGGTTATTCTGGTCTCTACCGAACTGTTGGTTTTTAAATCACGTACCACAGTATCCACAGCATCCTCTTACAAAGTTTAAAAAAAAAAAAAAATTGCTCTTCTAAATATTTGAAAACAAGCTCTTGATTATAGTTGCTGTTTCGGCAATTGGGCCTGGTAGACCAACATTAACCTTCTATTATGAAGACAGTAGCAGTCATTGTAGAAGGGAAAGTCAGTCATCCCCATGATCTTCCCTGAAGGGTCAGTGTCCTCTTAGAGGGGGGCTTGTTTAAATCCGAACCGGCAGCAGCCGGCTCAGCCGGTCTCTCTTATGCTGCATAAGACCCAGATCCGGTGCAGGAGCTGACCTATGACCTCCGAAGCCAGTGCGATGCCATCAGGGTGACCAAAACCGTGCGGCCCTTCAGCGCCGTGTGCTGCCCTGTCAACGAGAACACGGCTGCGCTGCTGGTGAGCGACGGCCGTGTCATGATCTGGGAGCTCAGGTCCACCGCCTGGGACCGCGGCTCCCGAAGCTGGTAAGTGCGTCCCTCGGGTTCAACTCTTTTGACGACTTTTATTAAAAAAAATAAAAAAGTAAAGGGGAGCACCTGGCTGGAGCCCGGGCTTGGCGGGGCGCGGAGTAAACGTGACAGGTCATGTGGCCTGACTCGTAATTGGGTTTCTTTCTCTCTTTCTTTCTTTCTTTCTTTCTTTCTTTCTTTCTTTCTTTCTTTCTTTCTAAATCTTCCATTAAACAAGTCCTGTTGAGGTTTGCTGTCCCAGGAGGAGGAAAGGTCGGATTCCTTGTACAGATGAGGACGGAGATGCAGGAGTGACCGGGATCAGGGTCACGTTAAATAAAGGGGCTTAGGAGCCGGGAAAAAAGAAGTAAAAAAAAAAATTAATAAAATATTTCAATTAGAATAAAAATGAAAAGAAAAAATACAAAAAAAAGCAAATAAAAACAATTATGAATAGTGAAAGAAAAGAAGATTTTTGTTAAAAAAAATTGGGGGCTGGAGCAATAGCACAGCGGGTAGGGCGTTTGCCTTGCACATGGCCCGCCCGGGTTCAATTCCCAGCATCCCATAGGGTCCCCCCGAGCATCGCCAGGAGTAATTCCTGAGTGCAGAGCCAGGGGTAACTCCTGAGCATCACCGGGTGAGACCCAAAAAAAACACCAAAAAAAAAAATTTGTTTTGTGAGGAGACATCTCCTGAGTGGTGCTCAGGAGGCCCAGAGTTCCCTGCTGGGCCGGGCACAGTGCAAGGGCCAGAGGCTGTTCTGTGCTGCAGGGCCAGAGATGACCTGGCCCACCCCAAGGGACTGCACTTAGTGATGTTCCAGGGACCGTGTGGTGACAGGAGTGAAACTGGCTGGGTGCCTGGTGTGCACCCTATCCGCCGTGCCGTCTCCCTACCCACCTCGCTTTCTATAAAGTGCTATTGTCATCTGGAAATGACATACTTCGTACCATTAAAAAATTCATCGTTTTTGTTTGGGTGTCATGCCCAGCAGTTTCTGGGCTTACTTATGACTCTGTGCTCAGGGGTCACTCAGGATGAGGCTCAGGCATCTGTATGTGGTGCTGGCGATTCAGCCAGGGTCAGCCACGTACAAGGCAAATGCCCTACCCACTCTACTATCTCTCTGGCCCTGATTGAAAATGAATTTTTTTTTTAGTATAGTTAATCGATGAACAACAGGATGACAGTGATACAGTGATAGTTAAGACTTTAATAAAATTACTAAAGATTATTTATGGGGAACTGAACAGAGGCTGGGTGAGGATGGCCTTGTGTCTGGCCAACGCCTTTTGGTCCCCAGAACCCCACATGATCCCCCGAACCCTGCCAGGAGTGATGTCTGAGCACAGAGCAAGGAGTAAGCCCTGAGCACTGTGTAGGTCCCTCCCCACAAAGGGGGTTGGGGATGGATGAATAAAGTCTCTAACAGTGGTCGTGGGTGTGGAGGGCCCGGCTTGCGTGCTGATGGGTGCAGGTGTCGGTGTGTGAGTCTCCGCCCGCTGTGTCTTGGCAGTAGCTCCGGTGTGTCGCCTTTGTACTCACCCGTGTCCTTCTGCGGGATCCCTGTCGGTGTTCTCCAGAGCAAACTCCCAGACCTGTCCTTGGATAACATGATCGGTAAGCTCTTCCCCACTCACTCTTCAAGACATCAGGAATTCTGTTGGAAGGAGAAAGCCTGGGTCAGTATTTGCGGTTATGGTCAAGTCAGTACTTGAGAAAATGGAAGTGGGGAATCATTCCTTCTGAAAGAAAATACGGAAGTATTACAAGTGCCAGCCGTCGTAGCCTGGTCGTAGCTAGAATTAGAGAAGCGTTCATCCATGAGAGACTTAATAGAAATGAAAGAGACGGCATCAAGGCAGGTAATTAGTGGATGTAGCCGGTGGTTCCATGATTCTCCTGGCTGTCGTACCCACTGGTCTCTGGCTCAGGATTAAATCCTCGCTTCCTTTCTCCCTTTCCTGCTGCCGCTAATTCAGTATTCCAGTGGATTGTTGCTGTGTTTTCATCTCTCAGGCAAGCTTTATGTAACTGTTCTTTGTGGTCACTGATGCTTATTGGCTCCCTTGGGACCATGTTTTTGCTCATCCAATTCCTCTGATAAATCACCACTCCACCAGGGTGGAAAGGTCTCGGACTTAGCTTCGTATTCTTAGCACTCAGCACAGGGCCTTGAACCAGGTGAGCGTCTACCAGCTTGTCTCGAGCCCAGTGCTGGACCCTGACCTCTTGTCCTCGTGCCGCCCAGAGCTCAGGCCAGACCCACCTTCCCGTCCTACCTGGAGGGAAATACTTTTGCCGTATCATACCTGCATATTTAAAGTTTTCTCCATCTTTTTTTTTTTCTTTTTGAGTCACACCTGGCAATGCTCAGGGGTTACTCCTGGCTCTGCACTCAGGAATTACTCCTGGCGGTGCTCAGAGTAATACCTCTGGCGGGAGACCATATGGGATGCTGGGATTTGAACCCGGGTCAGCTGTGTGCAAGGCAAACACCCTATGCACTGTGCTATCGCTCCAGCCTTAATTTTTCTCCCTCTTTCAGACATAAATCCACTTGCAGAATTTTTGTTTGGCAGATGTTAATTTCATCAGTAAAACAATTTTCCAAGTTAATTGACCTTATCAGCAGCTTAGTATAAAATATCAAGTGAAAAGTGTCAATAGATACACACGCACAGAACTAATCAGTAGCACAAATCCCATAGGAACTTGAAATGTCATGCTGCGTAGGTATCTAAGTGAGATAAATTGTGCGCGCGCGCGTGTGTGTGTGTGTGTGTGTGTGTGTGTGTGTGTAGACAAATAGTTATTTTGAAAGATTTACTTAGATGTGTAAGAGGAGCTTGTTTGGAGGTTCTGGAGTGATAGTACAGTGGGTAGGGCATTTGTCTTGCACGTGGCTGACCCGGGTTTGATTCCTTCATCCCTCTCGGAGAGCCCGGCAAGCTACCCAGAGTATCCCGCCTGCATGGCAGAGCCTGGCAAGCTCCCCGTGGCGTATTCGATATGCCAAAAACAGTAACAACAAGTCTCACAATGGAGACATTACTGGTGCCCACTTGAGCAAATCGATGAACAACGGGAGGACAGTGCTACAGTGTAAGAGGAGGGGTGGGGAGAGAGAAAGAGAGAGAGAGAGAGAGAGAGAGGGCTGTTCAAAAGAGAACACAGGCTTCTCTATAGTAGAAAAAAGCAAATGACAGTTTTTTTAAGGGACAAAAGTATACGGATCGCACGGCAATTTATGACAACATAGTTGATTAAAAAGTATCAAATAAAGCTTTGTAAGTTGAAAACATTTTAATTAAAACTTTCAATTACACTTTTCATTTAAAGTTTTCTGTGTCCTTAGTGGTAATTGAAAGCAATTCAGTTCCACTTAGACGCGTGATTTCTGTTCACTCGGTGAAGGCGGCTCTCGCTCGTCCCTGAACTGCCGCCGTCTGCCAGGGAGGGTTGCTGGGAGGCTGCTTGAGGAAGATCAGGGAGGTCACCAGGGCTCCGCGTTTTGCCCATTACTTGTTGGTAAGGAGCTGTAGCCTCTCTCTGAGATCATAAGGGAGATCATATGGGCTCATAATGGATGGCCGTTTTCTGTACATCTCACAGATTGTAAAATAACACTATTGTTAAAACGACCCTAGAGTCTTCAAAGATCGTAGGTACTCACAACTTGGTAATGATTTACCTTTTCCCTTCCACCAGTTCGTGTGTGTATTCATAGATCTGCTCTCCCACCATTTTTTTTTTTGGTCTGGGGGCGTCAGGGGAGGTAAGGGGGTGGGCCACATCCAGCGATGCTCAGGGCTTGCTCAGGAATCACTCCTAACGGCGTTCAGGGGACCGTTTGGGATGCCAAGGGGTGAAGCCAGGTCGGCCGTGTGCAAGGCAATCACCCTCCCCCCTGCACGTCTCCTTCCCCTCCGCGGATTATTTATTGTCTTTTTTTACAACTGAATCCAGTGTTCAGGCAGTGACTGGAAGGGAGGGAGAAAATTAGTATCTCCTTTTAGTGAACAGTCTTGACTTTGTGGGCCTTTGCATATACTTATTTTTCCAGAATAGTTTTACTGGAATCATCTTTTTAGTTTCAACCTTCATAACCTACAGACAAGTGCCGTATCTCAACATAATGCCACTTGAGATAACTATTGAGGTGGACAGTTTCTGTGTTTGATAGGCAATCCATATTTCGTGTTTATACTATCTGAGGCGTTCAATTAGAAAACTTAATTAAATCCGAAAGCATCCAACATAATTACATCGACACACTCAGACTTGTCATTACGAGCTGAAATGAGTTCTCTGAGCCTGGCGCTTGTGACCGCCAGTTTCCCAGGACCCGGTGGAGAGCACCCTCCAGTGTGACGATAGTGACACCCTCTCCCGGGAAGCGCTTCTCTGATCTGACTGCTCAGTGCCCTGGTAGGAGGGAGTCAGGCTTCAGTGGGCCATCCTCGAGAAGAGAGCCCCTCACTGGACAGCCGCACGCCGGAACGTCCCTTCTCTGAGCTGAGACGCCATGTGGTTGGGTCTGAGAGCCGAGTGCAGCATTGCCTTCGACTTTTGGCCCTAAGAGCTCCACATCTCACCTTCCAGACCTCTTTTCTTTTGGAATTTTGAGGAGCACCCGGTGGTGCTCAGGGTTTGCTCCTGGCCCTGTACTCAGGGATCACTCCAGGCGGGGCTTGGGGGACCAGATGGAGTGTCAGGGATTGATTCCTGGTGGACTGCCAAACAAGCATCCTCCCCATAATCGCTCGGACCCTTCAGGGACATTTTTTCAGACCTTGGGCGTGTCTGCGAGAGTTTGTTTGAGTCTTCAGATCAGCATGCTTGTGATTAAGGTAGGTGTATATATGTATTTTTTTTTAATCAGGACAAAGTGCGGTTGCTGGGGAGGACCACCCCAGAAGCCCCCTCTTGCAGGAGGTGCAGCTCAAGTTCCTGCTCACGGGGCTGCTCTCGGGACTGCCCCCGCCACAGTTCGCCATCCGGATGTGCCCACCGCTGACCACCAAGAACATCCAGATGTATCAGCCTCTGCTGGCGGTGGGTGAGTACGAGCCCTGGGTTCTTTCGCCTTCACGCCAGGTCCACGGTACGGGGCACCTTCTCCTCTGCTAGTGACCGGGACAGCCACAGAGGAGGCTTTAGAAGAAGGAGGCGGCTTATGGGAGACTTACAGAGACTTCTTTTGGGGGCCAAAGATAGTTCAGCAAGTAGGGCCCTTGCCATGCACTCGGTGGACCCGGGTTCTATCCCCTGCACCTCAGATCGAACCCCGGGCCCCGCCAGGAGTCATCTGTGAGCACAGAGCCAGGAGGAACCCCTGAACACAGCCGGGTGTGGCCTAGACTGCACCCCCTTTTCATCCACCTGTCTTTTTACTTGTATCACAGTGGAGACTCATCCCTGGTCCCTAGCAGCAGTGCTCCTCCGTCCATCCCTCGCTCTGCCCGGGACATGTCGCCCAGATTTATCTCAATGCAGACACATGCTGACTTTTTCTCTAGAACTATTGATTTCTGTTGAACTTCCTGGATGGATTAAGTTAGAATTTGCTCATTTACATGTACGTTTATTGCGATGTCAGGTTAATAGATGTTGGAGCAATTCTTGAGATAATTTCTCAGTGCCGGGAGGTATGACTATGGAATAGATGATGCATAGGTATAATTCTGTGCTTTTCTATAAGAGGTTTTTTTTTTTTTATCTGAAGCTGGGGCTGGAACAACTTCATCAGGGTTAAGGCACATGCCTTGCTTGGGGCCAGCCCTGGTTTGATGCCCGGTACCGCATGGTCCCAGGAGCACCACTGGGCTGTCCCTGGAGGCCCTTGTGTGGCCTGGTTGTGCTGGCACTGCAGGCGAGAGCAGAGCCCAGCCTTCGGGGGCCCTGCGGAGAGTTGCGGGGAGCCCCAGGTGTCCTGAACCCTGCTGGGCAGATCACACCCCTGCTCAGTCCGAAGCTTGATTTGTCAGTAAGCTGAACGTGGATTCCATCTAGCGTGACTGTCTTGCTTTGGGTGTATTCCGTTGTCCCGTATGACCCCCGGGCCCTTTCATGTCACGTTCAGTGACAAAGTCATTGCCCGATTACACTGTTCACAGTTCTCAGTTCACACCGAGAAACATTCTCAGAACTGAGACGCAGCTTTCCCAGGGCTGCCGAGGCCCTTCTGACTGGGCTTTAGACGTGTTGCCCGAGAACGCGACGGCCTTGGGCGCGATGGTCGCTGCACACCGTCTTGCAGTTCACGGGAGTGATGACTCTCGTGTGCCTCATGCGTTTCCCTGCCTCCTCACTCCCTCACCCGCAGACCGGCTTTCTGCGATCCACACGTTCACTAGAGAAAAGCCCCAATTCAGTGTGTGCAGGTGGTTTGTAAGGACAGAGCAGAGCCTGCACCAGACACGGGCCACTCGCTGCCAGGCTCACAGCTAGTGGCCTCCGTTAACATCTCCTGACTGAAAGGTTGAACAACAGCAAAGTCTGTGGAGAAAATCGGAAAACTCTGGGAGTGAGTTCTGCTCGTTGCCTTTCTGAGGAATAGTCATGATCGGCGTTCCGGCTTCCAACCCCAAAGACCCCCCCCCCCCTTAGAAAAAGGCTTTTGAAATGTGTTTGGGGGCTGCACCCACTGTGCTCAGGACTTAGCCTGACTCTACGTTCCGGGGTCTCTCCTGGCGGGGCTCCGGGGTAGGGGTATGGTGGGGGCGTCTGAGGTGCAGACCTGGGCTAGCCGTGTGCAAGGCCAGCCCCTTCCCCTCTCCGCTGTCTGTCCAGCATGAGTAAGGCGTTGGAGTAGTAGGCGGGAGTCCATCTGTGTCCTTAGCAGTTTCGTCTCAGAGCCATGAAACTCGGGCTTATTTTTCATCGCAGGAAAGACAGAGAAACTCTTGCTTGAAAAATAAACAGACATCATGCACCCCGGCACCCCGAGCCCGGGTCCCTCGGGGATGTGGCGAGCCGTGCAAGGTGTCAGGCCGAGGTCTGTGTCTGTGGGGCCGCCCAGACTGTCTTCTTCCCCGTCTCCGCAGGCACGAGCACCGGCTCTGTGTTGGTGTACCACCTCACCAGCGGGCTGCTGCACAAGGAGCTGAGCGTCCACTCCTGCGAGGTCAGGTGGGTGCGTGCCGGCCGCGTGACCCCGGCCCCGCTGCTGGCCTCTGCCCTGTGAACTCCTGCCACCCAGGAATGCATCCAGATCGGGGCTTGTTCCTGCTCCGGGAGCCGGGGGGTGTGACCTGTGTGCCGTGATCGGGACATCAGGGTGGCTTTGCTTTGCATTCCACTGTGTGATGTTTGGACTATTGGCCGAAACAGAGGGGAGGCCCGTTCTCCTCTGCACACGGCCCACAGTGCTCGGGAGCTTCTCCCCGCCCAGTGCTCGGCCGGCTCTGCAGGGACCCTTCGGCCACACACTCTGAGCAGTTGTGGTTTTCTGAAGGAGAGAGGGTGGCCCTGTCGGCGTCACAGCCCTGACTGCATTGACAGTTTTCGAGCCCTCACTGCTGCCTTATGCTGCAAGATGTGTCTCTTTTTTTTTTTTTTCTTTTTGGGTCACACCCAGCAATGCACAGGGGTCACTCCTGGCTCTGCACTCAGGAATTACTCCTGGCGGTGCTCAGGGGACCATATGGGATGCTGGGAATCTGGGAATCGAACTTGGGTCAGCCGCGTGCAAGGCAAACGCCCTACCTGCTGTGCTATCGCTCCAGCCCAGATGTGTCCTTTTGAAGCCACTTGCAGTGTCCTCAGGGCACTGTGTGGTGCTGGGAACTTTACCCAGGCCTGCGCCGAGCAGCGCCTGTGCCCAGCCTGTTGTGCCAGCTCCCCGGCACCCTGTTCTATGGCACAGCTCCCACGTTACACCGCGCCCTTCCGGGGCCTCCTGACATGCATGGCGTGGTAATGTCCCCTGCAGTGGGCCTTCAGCTCTTGGGGCGCACAACGGGTGTCCATCTCTCCGTCAGCCCTCTGTTGTCTCCTCTCTCCCTGCCTTTCTTCTCTCGCTGCACCTTTCAGCCCAGGCTTTTGTTCGTAGTTTCCTTGGATAGCTCAGGCCCTCCCTGGCGGCCCTTGTGCCGAGGACCGTGCTGTGTGTGGCTCTTCAATGGCCTCCGCCTCTAGGCAGTCAGCACTGCCACCGTTGCCAGGTTACCAAGCAGGTACCGAGGCTTGTCATCCGTGGGAAGGTGACAGAATTTAGGCCGCGTCCTCCAGCCTTTTGTGCCAACACTGAGAGTATGCGCTGCTTCTCCAGCTGAAAACTGAGACGCAGACAGATAAATGTATTGATTAAGCTTTGGACAGTCAGATAAGTGTATTGATTAAGCTTTGGACAGTCAGATAAATGTATTGATTACGCTTTGGTGTGTGCTGAGAATTTGCAACTTGCTGCTGCTTTTTACATAAGAGCATCGAGCAAACGCAGCGTTCGTGTCTAATTTCTTTTGCAGGGGCATCGAGTGGACGAGTCTGACTGGCTTTCTCTCTTTCGCCACTTCAACACCCAACAACATGGGATTAGTGAGAAATGAGCTGCAGCTGGTCCATCTTCCCACAGGTGGGTGTTTGGACCATTAGAAATTGTGGTTTGTTATGAGAGAGACAGAAATGCTGTTTATAAAACACGCGCTGACATTCTTTCACCCTGTGTCTTGCATCATGTGCTTATAGATTCATTTTCTGTTCTGTAATGATTCCCCTAAAAAGGAGCCATTGTCTTTTGCTTGGAGGTTTACTGCAATGCTTGGTGAAATGGGAATGAGTACCTACTGTTAGCCTGATCAGAATTAGAAATAGAAGTTCTGCTTTTAAGTTCCTTGTTATAGGGAACTAAAACACAGATTTAAAATAAGTCTTGGAAGTTAGACATGATTAATTTCTTTAAACATTTTTGACCCCTGTAATAAACTCTTTTTTTTTTTTTTTAAGTAAACAGATTTTATTTAGAGGGTTTTTGAAGGGTGGCGAGTAAGAGAGACAGCAGCGCACTCAAGAGAGAACGTGGGCTTCTCCAATGGCGAAGAGAACCCCTACACATCCCCCAGCATTAGATAGGAAAGCACAAAAGTCCACATCTCGAGGGGAGATGCAGGCGACACATGTGCTCAGACACCACATGTGCTCGGCCACGCAGGTGCAAGCAGCACACGGGCTCAGGCAGCACATGCGCCCTGTAAGAAACTCTTAACAAGTTCAGGATCAGGTTTCTTGGGGGCATGGGGAGAGGACTGATGGGACCACACCCAGTGGTATGGGGGTCTTTCTCAGCACTGCCCCAGGACTCCTTCCATTGGTGCTCAGGGCCAGGCAGAGCCTGGCGCTGAGCCCAGTCGGCTGCAGGTAAGGCAGGTGCCCTCAGCCCCTGTCAGGTCTTTCTGGTCCATTAGTTTAAATTGGCCACTTTTGTAATGTGGTCCCCATGGAGTTACAAAGTTATTCATGATCGGGTTTCAGGAATTAGTTTGGGAACTTAAAAGCTTTATAATAGAAAACATTCTAACAAACAGACTTGTTCGGAATTGTGTAAGACCTACAACCCAGTGAGTTTCCAGATGAGGACCTTGGAAAGAGGACAATAAAGTGAGGGTTTCAAATGACTCTCCAGCACAGACAGTGATTTCAAATCGATTTTTAAAACAAACGTGCCGTAATTTTTACCAATACAGTATCTGTGTGTCTGTGTCCCAGGGATCTAGTAGATGGTTGCTTCCTTATGGAATGCTCTCAGTGATTCTAAGTCCCCCTTGTTCTGCTGGTTGGAATACGCTGTGGCAGCTCAAGGGACCAGCTCCACATCAGCCTAGAGTTTCCCTGTGGCCCTGCCCCCAGCCCTCCTCGCTCTGCTGGGGCCCTCTGGTTACACAGCCCAGGGAGGAGATGTGGTCCTCTGGTATCTCTTACTGAGAAATTGCTCTCTTTTTCAGATTGGCCCATGGTTAGGATAGTTGCGTAACTTGAGTCCCTCACAGATAAATGTTTGGGGAACAGCTATTTAAGTTACAGCTACTGATCCCCAATAGTGGTACTTTGAATCTAAGCAGTGCAGACGTTTACGGAAGAGTCTTCTATGGACGGTTTTCGAACTTGCAGAATCGGGAAAGTCGGTATAGTGAGCAGTGACAGGAATCCCACACAGGGAGTGGGCTCCCGGAGGCATGACCCAGGGCCATCTGTTGTATTGAACATAGGTAAAGGTAAAAGGTAAAGGCCCTCCCGTTGATCGTCGATTTGCTTGAGCAGGCCCAGTAACGTCTCCACTGGAGACTTTGTTGTTACTGTGTCTGGCATATCGAATACTCTCGGTAGCTTGCCGGGCTCTCCGAGAGGGGCGGAGGAATCGAACTCGGGTCGGCCATGTTGGCCGCTTGTAAGGCGAACGCCCTACCCGCTGTGCTATCGCTCCAGCGTATTGAACATGGTTTTTGTTTAATGTAAGTAAAAATCCAGTAAATAAAAGAGACTGAAATACACGAGTTCTGACTGATCTTGCATTGTTTTAATTGTAAAAACACTTACTAGTTTTCTGTTCCTCAGCCAGCGTTAGAGAGACCTTTTGATAGAACATGTCAAAATAACTTGGTTGTGTATTTTTGCCCATGGGACCAGAACTCGTAGACCTGTTTAAAGGGTGTTCCTTATACTAGTTAGTGTTTCTACACATGAGAATGTTTCTATTGCTTTAAATATGCCAGAAGTTTATACATTAGATATTTGCTCTACCAGAACTACGTAAAACTCTAGAGGTTGACATTTTCAGTTGCCTAAAACTTAAGGTGTTTGAAAGAGGCCACAGAAGGAAATACTATAAAAATGAAGATGTCTTTCTCTAAAATCATAAAATTGTTAGTGGTCTGTAGCTTTAATAACTATTGAAAATACTTTTGAATTTGGATTGTTGGGAATAGCTAACATGAAACAAAATGAAGAGTGGACCTGAGCTCATGTCGCAGTCTGTCCCCCTCCTGGGCCCTTTCCCCCCACCCACTTTTCTTCCCGAGGTCCCTTTCTGTGGGTTGGCTCCCTGGTCTCATGCTGGGGGCCAGTGTGGCCCCAGTTAAGAAATGCTGGACTAGAGAGCAGCATTAATCAGAGTACAAAGTAAGCCTTGTTTCCTGTGTGTTCTATGTACTATCTCACATTTTCTTTAATATTTGCAATTAAAGGCAGGAGCATTGCTTTTCGAGGCGAACGAGGCAGTGATGAATCACCCATCGAAATGATTAAAGTATCTCATTTAAAGTAAGTTTCAACTTGAAAATAACTGTAGTCATATCATAATGGACTCCTGAGAGATTTCTTATTTATTTTGGTTTGGGGGTGACACCTGAGGAGATCGAGGCTGTGCCTGCTCTGCTCAGGAGTGACCCTGTTTTATTTTTAATCTAAAAAATATGTATGTTAAAATATATGTGGTACTCAACACCCAAAAGGAGAGAGAAAACAAAAGGGAATGCCCTGCCACAGAGGCAGGGTGGGATGGAGGGGATGGGGGTGGGAGGCATACTGGGATCCGTGGTGTTGGAAAATGGGCACTGGTGGAGGGATGGGTATTTGATCATTGTATAGTCGAAACCCAAGCACAAAAATTTGTAAGTCTACAACAGTACCTCATGGTGTTTCACTAATAAAAATATAAAAATATATATATATATGTGGTATTTTTAGAGATGGCAAATAGTGATCTTTAGCCATTTAGTCAACATATTTTGTTTAGAAAATTAATTTGCCATCACTTGTAATTCTCTACTAACAAGATTAGCTATGTTGATGTAATATGTTGATGTAAAAGCCTGTTTCACTAAGAACATGCTTATTATTTAATGAAATTTTTATGTACTTTGACTTCAGCATGAATTTATTCAGTGAAATCAATCTTTATAATTTAGACTCATTTTAATTCCTGTTATTTTTTATTTCAAGCAAACATGAAGAAAACATTAAAAAGAGAGTGACTAAAAACCTGTCAAAGGATAAAGAAAGGAATTTGCTTTCTAAACTTGTTTTTAAAGTTGTGTTCCTTTTTATAGATCTTCACATTTCCATGTACTTCTTTTTTTTTTTTCTTTTGGCTTGGGTTACACCTGGCAATGCTCAGTGGTTACTCCTGACTCTACACTCAGGAATCACTCCCAGTGATTCTTGGGGGACCATATGGGATGCCAGAGATCAAACAGGTCTGCTGCATGCAAGACAACCACCCTCCCCACTGTAGTATCTCTTCGGCCCCTCCATGTACATCTTAGAATCATATTAGCAGTTTTAATCTTAGTGGGTTTTTTTTTTCTATTTTTCCTTTTTATATTTTTGCATTTTGGATCATACCTAGTGGTGCATTGGAGTTACTCCTGGCTCTGTACTCAGGAATTACTCCTGTTGGTACTCAGGGGACCATATGGGATGCTGGGACTTCAACCCAGGTTGGTCACATGCAAGGCAAAAGCCCTACCCGCTGTGCTATTGATCCAGCCCCCCATCTTAGTAGTTTTACCAAAATGTTTTCTGGGATTTGAGTTGGGATTGCATTGGATCCATCAGTCACGGAGGGGAGAATGTTTCTTAAACATGGTATAGCTCGCCACTGATTTATCACTTTGATTTCTTTTAGTAATATTTTGTCGTTTTCACGATTTTGCCCATTGTCTGTTAATTTCCTTTTTCTTTGATGCTATTATAAGTGATAGATGTTTAAGAACTTTCAGTTGCCAGTTAGTCACTAACTTCTGAAAGATTTCATTTTTTGATGTTGCCCTTACAATCCTTCTAAACTTGATAGTTCCGGCAACATGTTGGTTGATTTCTTAGGCTTTTCCTTGTGGACATTGTTGCTAGTAAACACGCTTCTGTTCAGATGGATCAGTTCTGGGGGGTGTCCACCACTGTCCTCCGGAGTGCTGGACCATCCCTAGCTCTGCTCTGACTGGTGGTGTGGACCTGAGTCTGGTGCTTGGGCCCAGCAATACAGTGTCTACTGGAGGGGGCAGGTGGTTGTGGTGGTGGCGGTGGTGTTCTGTGTGTGTGTGTGTGTGTGTGTGTGTGTGTGTGTGTGTGTGTGTGTCAGCACCTGTGTTTCTTCCAGGGTTTGTCTCCAGGGTTTCTGCCATGTGGTGTTGACTCAGTTGAATCAGTTTTCTGATTTCAGTTTTCTCCGGTGCATGAATCAGTAGAATGGAAACGGACATGTAGATATCTTAGAGACAGCATTTACTCTTTCAGCACTAAGGAAAATACTCATTGTAGAGATTTTGTAGATGCCCTTTATGAGGTTGAAGAAATTTCCAGTTCCCAGTATCTTTTTTTTTTTTTTTTTTTTAGTTTTAAATCAACCTCACTTTCCTGACAAAGTCTGCTTGGTTGTGATGTATTATGATTCGATTCACTAACACTTTTATCTGCTGCTGGATTTTAGTTGTTAATATTTTATTAAAGTCTTTATATCTGTGTTACAAAGGCTATTGCTCTGGGTTTTTTTGTTTGTTTGTTTGTTTTTTAGTGAAACACCATGAGGTACAGTTATAGACTTACAAATTTTTGTGCTTGGGTTTCAGTTATACAATGATCAAGTACCCATCCCTCCACCAGTGCCCATTTTCCACCACCACGGGTCCCAGTATCCCTCCCACCCCCCATCCCCTCATACCACCCTGCCTCTGTGGCAGTGCATTCCTGTTTGTTCTCTCTCTCTCCTTTTGGGTCCTATAGTTTGCAATAGAGGCAATGAGTGGCAATCATGTTTGGTCTATAGTCTACTTTCAGCATGCTTCTCCCATCCTGGGAGGATCCTCCCAACACCCTTTACTTGGTGCTCCCTTCTCTATCTGTATTGCTCTGTTTTAGTGGGAGAAGGAGGCTCAGCCAGTGGGGGCGGTGCTGCTGCTCCCAACTCAGTGCTCAGTGCTCAGGCTCTATGTGGTGCCAGGCATCCGACACAGGGTGCTCAGATGCGAGCACACAGCCCGCTCGCCTTCTGAGCCATCTCTCTGTCCTGTTAGCAGCGTCTTAAAGATAAGGGGGAGGCTGTGCGGGGCTGTGAGGCAGCCCTGGGCGCCTCCCGTTTCCCCAGCTCCCATGTGTGAGCAGCTCACCGCGTTTCTACGTTTCATTTTTACCTTGACCTGGAGACATCCAGAAGGTGGGGGCAGGGTGCTCTCAGCCCATGCCTGACATGGGGTGGGCGGGGCTTTGCTGGCCGTCACCGTGGGGGAGCAGCTTGTGCCTGCCTGCACTCCTGGTGGGATTTGGGTGCGTGTGGCTCTCCGGGGCCACCTCAGAGCTTCGCCTTTTCACAACTGTCAGTCCTGAGGGCTCAGTGGTGCTTTATGTCGGCTGTGTTCAGAGTGTGTCATTTCAGTTCTCTAGCTTAGAGCCATTTCAGTTTTCTGATTTCAGTTTTCTCATTTTCAGTTTCTAAAGTTTGTACTAACTTGAGCATAAAACTTCTTGCCAAAGGGGGCTCACATAGCGATTTTGTTTATTCTAGGCAATATCTGGCCATTGTATTCAAAGATAAACCCTTGGAGTTGTGGGATGTTCGGACTTGCACCATTCTAAGAGAGATGTCCAAGAACTTCCCCGCCATCACTGCCCTGGTAAGTCGGTTTCAGGGTGAAAGAGGCTGCAGGTGCATCTGGCGTTCGCGTTTCTCTTTAGCTGGAATCAAGACCCTTGCAGCATTTATCTGCTTGCTTAAAAATGTATGTAGGGTGGGGCTGGAGCAATAGCACAGCCGGTAGGGCGTTTGCCTTGCATGCAGCCGACCCAGGTTTGATTCCCAGCATCTCATATAGTCCCCCAAGCACTGCCAGGAATGATTCCTGAGTGCAAAGCCAGGAGTAACCCCTGAGCATCTCTGGGTGTGACCCAAGAAGAAAAAAAAACAATAAATATATATATATATTACATATATATGTAAGGGAGAAGATTCAAATAAGGGGCACCAATCGCTCTTATTGGATAGGTTAAAGCTAATGAAGATTTCCTTTAGGTATTTTGAGGAAGACGATAAACACATTCTAAGCCTCTGTGTGAAAGGTTGCAGGCTGCAGTGGGCAGGCCAGCCTCACAGAGCCAGGGTTCGTGTGGGAGGTGCGGTGAAGAGGCCCTACCTGGTGGTCAGTGCAATACCCAAAACCATAGACAGTGATGAAAGTGGGTTGGCATCCACTCGGAGTAGGCAGTGGCCGCCTAAGAGCCTGGTAACAGGTGGGCATTTGGGCACCTCGCGCAGGGTAGAGGGGAGGGACAGACCAGGTAGGGGGCAGTGTCGGAACAGTGCGCTTTGGGGGAAAAGTACTGAATCTCAACTTACATTCAGAGCCAGATCCACAGGCTTCACCTGTAGATGGGGTCCAGGGGGTAGTGCAGTATTTAGGGCACACACCTGGCCTGCGCCCATCCCCGGTCAATCCCAGGCACCACCCGGTCCCCTGAGCATCACAGGGCCTGGCCCTTGAAGGTTTCTGCTCTGCTGACTGGCCTGTGTGTCCCCTCAACGTAGGGCCGTGCACTGAACCACAGGCCCGTTGACCGAGAATTGCCATCGAGGCCCATGGACCCCCTTGAGCTCTTCTTGTCTTCTCCCCCCCACAAAAGGACTTCGATATAAAAATGGAAAGTATAAAATTTGTATAATCGACCATGAAAGAGTAGGGAAGGACATCAGAAACTCAAGCCTGTTACTGAAAAGGCAAAAGAGATTAATTACTTGGAAATCGATGCTCTCTTTCTTGAAGGGCACAACTTTCAGGGCTGACTACAGAAGACGGGTCGTTAAAAGAAAAGTTCCCTGTATCTAAAGCCATTAAGACACCAACTAAGCCCTCACGAGCAGACATGGCCAGACTTTGTTGAACCATTGTACCCTTTCAGAAACTCGCATAACGTAGCTTTTCCACGTGGCCCTGGAAACGTGGTCTCTTTAAGTGAGCTGCAGACAGCGCTCCCCCGGGGCACCCGAGGCTGCTGTCACCATCCCAGATTGTTCTAGCAGCCCCGTGGGAGACGAGCTCTATGGGAATTACAAATAAGGCACAAAAAGACAGGAGCCAGAGGGAAGCTGCACCAAGGGCGTGAACCGTGAGTGGGAGGCTTGACAGGGACAGGCGGGGGAAGGACAGGACGGCCACAGCTCGGCGGGTCCCAGAGGCAGAGGGAGATGACCGCGGGCCTTCCGCGAGAGCAGGCCACCAGGCCACAGTGTCGAGCGTGGGTGTGACGAGAAGTGTGGTCAGGGAGCACCCTCCCCACTCTTAGGTGCTGCCACACAGGCAGTGGGCAGTGCTGCCTGTCGCCACAGTCCCAGGGTCATCCGGCTGCTCTTTGTTCAGAGAACAGAGTGAGTCACACGTGCTCATCTGTGCTGGTGCCCATCCCGTCACACACACGCAGCTGTGTTAGTGCTGAGCCACGTGACCCATACATGCGTGGCTTCCAAAAGAAATGGCACATCCAAGAAGGTCATAGGTGCAATGCCCTCAAGTGAGCAGGTGGGAAGATGAAGAGACAGTAAGACGAGAGGGTTGGGGGGTGGTGGGGGTTCCCGGCTGTTCTCCTTCCGGGGGGTGGGGGAGGGTGAGGGTCAGAGACGTCCCGGCTGTCTTAGCTTTTGCAGAGGGAAGGCGTCGGGAGGCCGCCCTTGGGAGACTCGCCGTGGACTCTCCTGCCTTGGGCCGGTTGAATGTGGAGGCACAGGTGGATTGTGAAGCCCTTTTTTCTTGAGCTCTAATTAGTGTGCAGCCTTTCTCTGTTGAAACACAAGCCTTAGGTGGGGGGTGGGGGTCCCTTGTGGCCTCCGGGTCCCGGTCCCCCGGGAGGAGCCTCCCCCGTCAAGACTGTCTGTCTCTGTCTCACAGGAGTGGTCACCCTCACACAATCTGAAGAGCCTGAGAAAGAAGCAGCTGGCCACGCGGGAGGCCATGGCCCGCCAGACCGTGGTCTCCGACACGGAGCTGAGTGTGGTGGAGTCGTCCGTGATCAGGTGTGTGCGGGCCGTGTGCACTGCTCGCCGGGGGGTTGCTTCCTGCCAGGAGTCAGGCTGCTGGCTCCCATGGCCCTGCATCCCGGGGCATGCAGCGAACGGTCCAGATCGGGCATGCCATCAGCCAGGGTACCACAGGGACGGCGCTGGGGACTCCCGGGGCGCCCCTCAGTCCAGCAAACCCATGGAGGGCACGTTCCTCCTGGGGACTCACCGCCATGTTCTCCTGAGGGTCAGCATGGCCGGATGCGTCCTGGTTACTGTGGTGATTTCCTGTTTCACCACCCCCCTCCCTCCTTCAAACGTGGTCTTGGCTCTCCCATTAAGGCGTCTGTGTTTGGGGTGAGTTAATGAACTCTGGGTGGCATTTCAGGAGAAAGCTTTTTGCATTACTCATTTCCTGTTCCAAAGCTTGCTGCAGGAGGCGGAGAGTAAGTCGGAGCTCAGTCAGAACATCTCTGCCCGCGAGCATTTTGTGTTCACCGATAACGATGGCCAAGTGTACCACCTGACCGTGGAGGGGAACTCGGTGAAGGACAGCGCGCGCATCCCGCCCGACGTGAGTCCCACCCGGCCCCTGGCATCCCTTAGTGCAGCGGGCATAGCGCAAGCTTTGTCCCTGCCCTCCGCAACAGCAACCCCTGAGCACAAAGCCAGGAGTCTCCTCCCAACACACACTCATGCACGCACATACCAGCACTGCCAGGTGTGGTTCCTAAACAAAAAACAAACCAACCAGAAAGAGTTCTCAGAAGATGGTGTTGTTCCATGTCCCGGGAGCTCAGGTTAAATTAGAATGTTGTTTCAGAAAAATTCGATAAATGAACTTTACAACGGGTAGCGTGCTGTCGTTGGTTGAGATTGTTCCAGAGAATGGCTTTGTATTGAAATAATTGGCCAATTTGGGCTTCTTGTCTCGTTTTTATTTTAAGCCATTTTTTATTGCGCCAGTGGGCCTCACAATCCAGTTACTCGTGCTTTTTTGCTCACTCATCCCAGCGCGAGACCCTCCTGGGGCCCCTCGGCTCTGTCTCCACAGCCGCCCACGAGGAACCATTTCCTTTTGATCTGTGGCTCGTGTGTGGCCGCCAGGAGTGATCCTTGAGCTGGGAGTGAGCCTTGAGCACCGCCCAGTGGGGTTACCCCTCTCTCCCAAAAGGAAAGCTTAATTATTAAAGTTCATTTCCAGAAGAGAGTGTTCTTGGTTTTGTTATTTGGCGCCATGCCCTTTGGTGCTCAGGGGCCACCTGCTCTGGGGGTATCTCCGAGCTGTGCTTGGGACCACCAGGCCTCAGAACAAACCCGGGTCTTCCCCATGCAGCACTATGAACCAGGCCCGAAAAACATTCTTAACGAAGCATTCTGTCGTGTAGTCAGGAGAATAGAATTAAGGTCTTGAGTTCCTGTTTATTTTACAGCTTTCTCGGCTGTATTAAGATCTTGCTTTTCAGTCCTTTTCACCTTTTGTTTCTTGACTCCTGCAAGGAGCTTGGTGTTGGACGTTTGAGCCAGTCTTTTGATAGGCAAAAGTTTGATACTTGGAGCTTTTCCTCTTCCTGGATACCTCGGGAGCTAAACACGTGAACTGCAGAATGATTCTTAAGTGAACAGAGAGCATTTCACTTATGTGAGTGGAGCAGTAACCAGTAACCAGCTCTGCTCCGTTGTGTCCGAGCTCAGTGTTTGGTGGCACTTACACGAAAGGAAACCCTTTTACAATTATGTCGTGTTCAACTCCCGGGCCGTTCATCAGGGTGACCTGGTGTTGCCCCCTGCACAGCGTCACGGTCAGGCTTCTCTCCCCAGGGCAGCATGGGCAGTATCACCTGCATCGCGTGGAAGGGTGACACACTCGTTCTCGGGGACGCGGATGGAAATCTCAACTTCTGGGACCTGAAAGGCAGGATGTCCAGGTATGCGGCTCTTCTTCTCCTTTTTTTAAGTGACTGTCGCTTCTTGCTGTGGGTTCTCCAGAGGCTTGCGGAATCCGTGAATGTCGCCCCGTTGGTGCCCGTGCCTGGGGCCCTGGGAAGAAGGGCCTGAGTGGCCGTGGGTCTTCGTGGCCGGGCCAGAGGCCAGGACACTTTTGCAAGTTGGTTCGGGGGTGGCCTCTCCCGTCCAGCGTCACCTCTGTCCCAGAAGGTCAAGTCTCCTGGTGCCAGGCTGTCAGAGGGAAGGAGAGGAGCGTCGTTCCTGTCCTGGGCGCGCTCACGCTGGGGTTTCCCTGTTGTTTCTCTGGCCTCAGAGGGATCCCGACGCAGCGCAGCTGGGTCAGGAAGATCCGTTTCGCTCCTGGCAAAGGAAACCAGAAATTAATCGCCATGTACAACGACGGCGCAGAAGTCTGGGACACCAAGGAGGTAGGGTGCCTCCGGGGTACTCAGAGGTGCTCTGGGTGCGGCTTCCTTCCGGGGGGCGAGGGGACGGGAAAGGAGCTCAGGGACCCTGTAAGGGTGGTCTGCGTGCAGGTGGGTGACCGGGAAGCCAGGCAGCTCCTGTAAGGGCGGTCTGCGTGCGGGCAGGTGCCACTCGGCTTCTGCCTCTGAGGTGCCGGGTCCCCACAGGTGCAGATGGTAAGCAGCCTGAGGAGCGGGCGGAACGTGCCCTACCGCATCCTGGACGTGGACTGGGGGACCTCGGACAAGGTGATCCTGGCCACCGACGACGGCTGCATCCGCGTGCTGGAGATGTCCATGAAGGGCGCCTGCTTCCGGATGGACGAGCAGCAGCTCACGGGTAGGGCCTGCGCGTGCCTGAGATTCCCCGACCCTGGGCCGGGCTGCCATGGACGCCGGTCTCTCGCCCTACCCGCGTCCCTTCTCTCAGCGGCTGGCTTTCGGGAAAGCAGTTTACTTGGGATGCCAGAGTGCCTGGTGGGAACGGGTGCGAGTGTCAGGATTTTGACTCCTGCCTTGTGACTCGCTAAAGGCCGTTCCGAGCACCGGGAGGAGATTGCACCCTGCTCCCCATTTTGTACAGTTATTTATGGACTGGCAGGAAATACCTTCCCGTGAAAGTAGCCCACGTGCGACTTTTAAGAAGAGCGAGGTGCTCGAGGGTCCAGCCGTCCTGAGCAGACCGTGGCCTTGAACGCTGCTCGGGAAATGAGGACAGTGCATTGTTCAGATCCTGTCCAGGACAGAGCGGGTTTCTCGGCCTTTAGACCCTCCGCTCCGGGCTTACCCTTGCTGAGTGTCAGACTGTGAGGAAAGGGTGTTGGGGGTGGAAGTGCTCAGTTGTCACAGTATGAATAGTTGCTTGAACTATGAACACTTCTCAGGGCCTGCTCCTGGCTCTGTGCTCAGGGCTCACTCCTGGCGGGGCTTGGGGGACCCTGTACACTGCTGTGGAGTGAGCTTGGGTTGGCCCTGTGCCAGCAGGTATCTCTCCGGCCTAGGATGCCTCTTTTTTTTTTTTCCCCCCTTTTTGGGTCATATCCAGTGATACTCGGGGGGTTGCTCCTGGCACTGCACTCAGAAATTACTCCTGGCGGTACTTGAGGGACCATATAGGATGCCAGGGACTGAACCCGGGTTGGCCACATGCAAGGCAAATGCCCTCCCCGCAGGACTATTGCTATGGCCCCCAGACTGCGTCTATAAAAAGAGAATAGCACTTCCGGGCTGAGACTGGGTTATGAGCCCGGCTTCAGTGACATTGACGACAGTGTGAAAATTCCTAGGCATGAGAAGAGAGTTCCTCATCTCTTTCCAATGTTGGAAAAGTCCACAAGAAATATTTTATCCATGATTTAACTCTTTTGAGTTTTCTGAAAAGATCAACGAGGCCTCCCGGTAGAAATAAAAATGTGAGCCATGGGGTTGGAGGGGTAGCACAGCAGGGAGGGCGCTCGCCTTGCACGGGACTGACCTGGGTTCGTTCCCCGGCATCCCTTATGGTCCACTGAGCACCGCCAGGAGTAATTCCCAAATGCAGAGTCGGGAGTAATCCCTGAGCATTGCTGGGTGTGGCCCAGAAATCGGAAAAAAAAATGTATGAACCATTTAAATACATTTTTTTTCTCATACCCACATTACAAGGGCAGGAGCGATAGCACAGCAGATAGGGCATTTGCCTTGCACGTGGCCCATCTGGGTTCAATTCCTCCGTCCCTCTCGGGAGAGCCCGGCAAGCTACTGAGGGTATCCTGCCCGCATGGCAGAGCCTGGCAAGCTCCCCATGGTGTATTCGATATGCCAAACACAGTAACAAGTCTCACAATGGAGACATTACTGGTGCCCGCTCGAGCAAATTGATGAACAGCAGGAGGACAGTGACAGTGACAGTGATGAAGTTAATCTTAACCTTTTTTTTCTGCTTACTCTGCCTCTAACTTTTGCACCCAGGAATTACTCTTGCCGGTTCTCCGACCATATGGGATGCCGGGATCGAAGCCAGGTTGGCCACGTGCCAGGCAAACACCCTCCCCGCTGTACTGTCGCTCCACTATATCCGAGTGTTATGGTTTCAAGATACTAAGAGTCGCTCCTGAGAAAATGGCCTTTGTCGTGCTCAGGGTTCTCATCTCCGTGAGGAGCATCTCAGCCCTGGAGCACCTGAGCTGAGGCCCGTCAGACGGAGGAGCACTCGGCCGGTGCTCAGTCGTCAGGGCGCTCACGTCTGAACGCTCCGGGAGCTCAGGCTCCCAGGGACGTGTCCGACCCTGACTCGGGCTTTGTGGGCTGTTGACCTCGTGTGAGCTGCGGGGTCCGAGGGGGGAGCCCGCAGCTCCCAGGGCTGGGCCTGAGTCATGGTTGCGGGTGCGGCTCCTTGGGGCGGTGATGTGGGGCCCGGGTCCTCCTGTTCAGAGATCAGCCCGCTGCCCGCCCTCCCTCCCTCCCTCCTGTCTCACTCCCCTCTCTCCTTCGTCTCTCTCCTTTCTCTCCCTGCTCCCCTCACCCTCTCCTCTCCCTCTTTCCTTTGCCCCCTCTCTGTCTCTCCCCATTCCTCTCTCCTCACACCCTTCCCTCTGCCTTTTCCTTTCCTCGCTTCTCTTTTCTCTTTTCCCTCCTCTCCTCTCCCTCTGTCTCTCGCCTCTTCTCTCTCCCTCTCTCCCTCTCCTCTCTCTTTCTCTCTCCTTTCCCTCCCCTCTGCCCTGCCCCTCCCCCCTCATGCTCGCTTTAGCAGCACACTCACTCACAGGTTGCCCCGAGTGGGACCCAGGAGTGTGGGTCCGAGGCCGCAGCCCCACGGGTTTCCCAGGAAGCAGGTCAGGTGCACATCAGTTTGCATCTTTCAAACATTCCTAAACCCGAGCTTTGTTGTGCCTGTTGCCTGCGGCCTCCCAGGAGAGGACACGTCAGTCTGCCATGGGTGATGCAGGTCCGCAGCAGGGTGTGGCCCAGCCATCTCCTGGCTCACGTTCCTCCAGCCTCGTCTGCACCTACGCGGGGTGCTCCTCGGGGTCCGGTGTTGTGTGACTCAGCCAGGCTGCTCTCTGTCTCTCTGCTAGAGCCCGTGTGGTGCCCCCACCTGCTCGTGCCCCGGGCCTCGCTCGCCTTGAAAGCCTTCCTGCTGCACCAGCCTTGGGATGGGCAGTACACGCTGGACATCACTCAGGTGTAAGTCCTGGCCGGTCACTCTGCCCGGGGTGGGAGTACCGCGTGGCCACAGGCCGAGGCTGGGGGAGGATACAGTGACATAGTCTGCTGCCTGTCCTGCCTGGGCCTTGGGAATGCCACTCTGGTGGGTGCTGGGCAGGCAGCTGTGTGCCAGGGGGCAGGCAGGGTGTGAGAAGAGGGTCGTCGAGTCTCAGGGCATGGGAGGTGGGGGGCCCAGGGTATGGGGGGGCCTAGCCTTCTTCTTTATACAGCAGTAGGACGGTTTCATGTCTCACGAAGCCTCAGTGGCTGATCACTGGGAAACAGTTGCAGATGCTCTTATTAGTGGCAACTAGCCCAACCCACAGGGGCTGCCAGACTTGAGCCTTAAGGAGCCTTAAGGTGCTGGGGAGTCACACGGCCAACCCGGGTTTGGTCCTCAGCACCACTAAGGGTCCCCCAGGAGTGATTCCTGAGTGCAGAACCAGGAGTGAGCCCTGAATACCACCAGGGGTGGCCCCAGCATCCCCCTCCACTGACTTCCCCCCCCCCCCACCCAAAAAAAGCAAAAACCCTCAGACTGATGTGATGATGAGGTATTTCCTGCTCTGGGGAGTTTTCAGTGGGATGAGAAAGGTGCTTCTTACAGGAAGGCCTCCTGGTGTGGCACTTGGGTCTGGAGCACCTGCACAGGGCAGGCAGCTCCTCAGGGCTACTCCTGTCACCAGAGAGAGCCCCGGGACATCTTTCTCCTCCCTCTTTGTTCTGCTGAAATAGAGAAGCAGACCCTGAGGGGTTGGTGGGTCCCTAAGGAGAGGCTGCTCTTCTGGTCTGGAGCCGGATTTGAGGGCGGGACAGGGCTCCCCTGGGTGGTGCGGGGGGGGGGGGGGGGGGCTGGGGCCCCGCTGGGTGGATAGTTCACTGCTGCTCAGGGCTCGGGGGCCAGGGACCACCTGGCCACCCGTGGAGCTGGGGCAAGAACCAAGTTTTGACCGAGACGAGAACAGCTGAGCATTTTGGGAGGAAGAAATGGCGAGTTTAGGGGCTGGGCGTGCGACTCTAGAGCCCGGAGAGGCTGGCCGTTTATTCAGGCCTGTCACCAACATACACGTGTGTGCCTCTGCACACACATGCACACACATGGTAACAGTAGTAAAAAGTCACAGATGAAGAGATAAGACCTTGTTCCAAACCTTTTCTCTTACAGTGATTATCCAGAAAATGATGAAGTCAAGGGTCTCATGCAAGAGCAGCTGAATTCACTGTCTAAGTAAGTGCCGCAGTGGCCCTTGACCCAGAAGCAGGTTCAGGGCTTGGGTCTGGCCGTGCAGGGCAGACGGGCTCGGGGCTGGCCATGCGGGGCTGACGCATTCGGGGCTGGCCGTGCAGGGCTGATGGGCTCCAGGCTGGCCAGTCTTTCTCGTGGAGGTGGGGACATCTCACGTGTGTGCCTTGCATGTGTGCAAGCAATTGTCCTACCCACTGTAGTACGGCTCCGGCCCCAAGATGGAGCACATTTTCACAATCTAGATTCCCTCACACATAATCCAAACGCCTCATAGACACACGGTGACAGGATGCTTCCAGGTCGTTCATTTTTCTCTCTCTCTCTCCGCAAGTCTGTCTCCATGTGTAAATGTAGAATAACGGTTTCCAAGAACATTTCTTCCCCTCTCCACGTTCCACTGTTTGGAACTCCCCACGTTAGCGTCACTGCCTTTCTTCCTTAAATGTGGCACTTGAGGGCTCCTTTCCGAGGTCAGTCTCGTCACATCCCCCCTGAGGCCTGCACTGTTCTGGTTAATTAGCAAAGCCACTCGTGGCTCCAGCCAGCAGTGTTGTTCTAGTTTCGGGGGTGGAAGTTTTCTTAAGCATGGGAGTGAGGCTGCAGCGAGAGCAGACCCCTCACGAGTTGCCTCCTTGTGGGGACTGAGCTCTGCCCCTCTCCCCGAGACCCCTCACCAGCCCAGGGCTCCGGGCCACCTCGTCAGGCAGGCCGTGCCCCACTGGCATATGTAATTTCCAGTGATGCCTGCTGAGGAGTTTTGATGATCGGCAGGTTCATCTCCAGGCTTCCTCGTTTTATGGGAAAGTCGCCTTGCCACTGTCTGGGTTTCTCTCTCCACAGCGACATCAAGAGACTCTTGCTCGACCCGGAATTCACCCTCCTGCAGAGATGCCTGCTTGTTGCAAGGTAACAAGAGGAGAATTCCGCTCAGTTCTCTTTGTAAGGATTTTCCCTTATACCAAACTCCCTTAGAGACACACAGCAGGTGGGCCCTTAGGTGTGCCTTGTCATTATCTGACATTTAGATTTGAGATCTGAGCCTTCTCTGTCAAGAAGACTCACCCTGACAGATGGATTTTTTTTTTCATTTCTTTGAAAGTATCAGCTACACAGAGCTTCGGTACATATTTTTTAAAATCATTTTTTTAATTTTTTAAAAATTTTTATGAATAAATTATTTATTTATTTTGCTTTTTTTGGTCATACCCAGAGATGCTCAGGGGTTCCTCCATGCTCTGCACTCAGGAATTACCCCTGGTGGTGCTCAGGGCACCATATGGGATGCTGGGAATCGAACCCGGGTTGGCCACGTGCAAGGCAAACTCCCTCCCTGCTGTCCTGTCGCTCCGGCCCCCCAAAAGTTTTCTTTAAAAGAAGCCCATGACTTCTGCTCCCTCTCGTCGAGTAAAGTTCGCACGTGAGACTTTCTCCTCTGGTCCCCTAGAGGAGAGTGGCATTGTCCCGTTGCGGCAGAGGGACGTCCTTCCTGCAGGACTGCAGTCCCCCTTAGGCTGAGCAGAGTGGTCATCCCCCGGCCCCCATCCCACCTGGAGAATGCGCAGCTTCCGGGCCCGGCTCTGGCAGGGGCCGCTGGGGCTGCCCGCGCGCTCAGGGGCCTGACCTCCACCTCGGCAGGCTCTACGGTGACGAGTCCGAGCTGCACTTCTGGACCGTGGCTGCCCACTACCTGCACAGCCTGTCACAGGAGAAGGCAGCCAGCACCTCTGAGGCCAAGGAAACCGCCCCCCAGAGCAGAGCGAGTGACCCCCTGGACATCTGCTACGACATCCTCTGTGAAAACGCTTACTTCCAGGTACCCAACCCCGCGCCCCCACCCCAGACTCTCACCCCTGGGGGCCGTGTCCGGCAGGGACTGGCAGGGAGTCGCTTGGGCTCATGTCTTCCTTCCCGGCTCTCTGAGTCGCACGCCTCTGGCGCTGGCTTTGGGATTGCTGTCTGTGTGTCAAAGGGTCCCCTGCTTGCCCCCCTCGCTCCTCGGCCAGGGATGTGTCCGCCCAGATTCTCAGAGCCGACCCCCGGGCTCAGAGTCTTAGGTCGTGCCTGGATTTCTGTAAGGGGATTGATAATCTCAGAGGCCAGAGAACAGTTGATTGAAACGCCTTTTGGAGGCAGTTTTCAGGTGCTCAGGATCTTAGAGAGTTGGACCTCAATTTTCCTTGTTTAATTTTTTTCCTCACCTGCTCCAGAAATTTCAGCTGGAAAGGGTTAATCTCCAGGAAGTGAAACGGTCCACGTATGAGCATACAAGAAAGTGTACTGACCAGCTGCTTCTCCTCGGCCAGGTATGTTTCCCTCTGTGTCCCGGGCTCATGGGTGCCAGCTGGTTCGTGTCCCCGAGTGTCTCTGCTGTCACAGTGTGTGTCTGCCCTTCTGCCCGCTGTCCTTGTGGGACCGCGTGTCTGTCTCTGCCCACTGAGACTGTGTGTCTGTCTGTCCCTGCCTGCTGTCTGTGTGAGATCCTGTGTATGGGGCCCAGTCCGGGTCTGTACCCAGCACTGCACTTCAGAGCGGTTTTGGCCGGCTGGCACCTGTCAGCCTGCATGGGCCGACGCCGCGTTTCGAATGTCTGTTCCCTGCAGACAGACCGGGCGGTGCAGCTGCTGCTGGAGACGAGCGCCGACAACCCCCACTATTACTGCGACTCCCTCAAGGCCTGCCTGGTCACCACCGTGACCTCGTCCGGCCCCTCCCAGAGCACCATCAAGCTGGTGGCCACCAACATGATCGCCAACGGCAAGCTGGCAGGTGAGGCCCCGGGCAGCCCTGGGAAGCTCTGGCCCGGCCGTTTGGCTTGTTGGGACAGTCGTCTTGGGGTTTGCTCCCGGCTCCCAGCTCAGGGTTGCTCCTGATGTTGCTGGGGACCATGCAGTGCCGGGGCTCGAACCCGAGCACGTGCTCCGGCCCCTCAGACAGTGTCTGGAGGGTGGAAGGGCACGGCACTGCCCGCGTCTCTGTGCCTCCTGCCCCGTCGCTGCGGGTGATGGTTCCGGAGTCATCGCCGAGTTGTCCCCGGGGGTCGCGGAGGAGGCCAGGGCTGACCCTGCTCGGGAGCGACCTGTCACATGTCCTGCCCGCCCCTCACTGGCCGGGCTGTGCCTTCCAGAGGGGGTCCAGCTGCTCTGCCTCATCGACAAGGCTGCCGACGCCTGCCGCTACCTGCAGACCTACGGCGAGTGGAGCCGGGCCGCCTGGCTGGCCAAGGTCGGTGCCGCGGGAGGGCCCGGGGGCTTGCTGGTGGGAGCGTTTGGGGCACGGCCATGCTGCTGTGCGAGTCCTCTCTGGCAGCCGTCTGCCTGCAGGTCAGAATGCCATGACACGCCCATTCCCTGGAGAAACGGGTTTGGGTCGGTCCCATTGACTCAAGGCAGCACCTGCTCTGGTGGAGGCACTGCTGGGCCACAGGAGCACGTCCCTGGGGGTCCCGGCCAGGCCACGGGAGCCCACATCCTCGGGGGTCCTGGCCAGGCCATGAGAGCACATCCTTAGGGGTCCTGTCCAGGCCACGGGAGCCCACATCCTCGGGGGTCCCATCCAGGCCACAGGAGCACGGCCTGGGGGTTCCACATCCCCCAGGGTTCCGCCAGGCCACGGGAGCACGTCCCCGGGGGTCCCAGCCAGGCCATGGATGCACATCCTTAGGGGTCCCGGCCAGGCCACGGGAGCCCACATCCCCAGGGCTTCCGGCCAGGCCACAGGAGCCGCCTCCCCTGGGGTCCCAGCCAGCAGTGTGGCCAGAATGCCGCTTCCTTGTGGTGTTCACCCGGCGTCTCCTCAGGTCCGGTTAAACTCTGAAGAGTGTGCCGACGTGCTGAAGAGGTGGGTGGACCACCTCTGCTCCCCGCAAGTCAACCAGAAGTCCAAGGCCCTCCTGGTCCTGCTCTCCCTGGGCTGCTTCTCCAGCGTGGCCGAGATGCTCCACAGGTGCCCCCGAGGTCCCCGGGGTGGGGGTGGGGGGTCGGTGGGGGTCGACGAGGAGCCCTTGTGTTTTCCCAGGGCGCCGCCGGCTGGCCGCCAGAGCTTTGCGTGTGCGGGGGATGGGAGACCCTTTGAGGGGGCTGGGGGATGCTCGCAGCCACCCTCACCGCCCCATCCCTCGGCAGTATGAGGTACCTGGACCGGGCCGCCCTGTTCGTGGAGGCGAGTCTGCAGCACGGCGTGCTCCCGCTCAGCGCCGAGACCCATATCCTTCAGGAGCTGGGGGCGCGGGGCCAGGTGTGCGGGGTGTGGCCGGGGGTCTCTGTTTCGCTCCCCAGTGCCTGCACCCTGGCACAAGCTCCTTGCCAACAACGGATGGACAGTGAGGGGGAGCTCCTTGGTAAGCATGGAGAGTCGTGGGGCCTGGTGTGGGGGCTGAGGAGCCCGGGCACTGTCGCTCAGCGGGTTATCTCGGGGGCTCTGCTCCCAGGGAGGGGCGCGACCTGCTTGCCCAGCTCTGTCCCCCACAGGGACCCTGATGCACTGCCCGGCAGCGTCCCCGCCCAGGGCTTTCTGGAGTCCCATGGTGGCTCTCCCAGGCCGAGTCCTCCCCACCCCCCTCCCGCCCCTCCCTCTTTCCCTCTCTCCCTCCCTCCGTCCCTCCCTCCCTCCCTCCCTCCCTCCCTCCCTCCCTTCCTTTCTCTGCTTGATGCTCTGTCCAGTGTGTGCCAGACTGGCTGGGTCCAGGCTGCATTGCAGGGCACCCAGCAGGGGCTTGTCCACTGCCCGTAGCCCCAGCTCTGCAGAAACGCGGTTATCCGGGTCCTTGTACCTGCCTCTGCCCCAGCCGCTGGCTCTGCTGGCCAGGGCACCTGTTCCCTTCCCCGTCAGTCTGTCGCCAGTGGTGCTCCTTGGTGAGCACGGAGAGTCGGGGGGCCTGGTGCGGGGACAGAGGAGCCCGGCACCTCGCGCGGCCGTGGAGCCTCCTGGGGCTTCTGCTCTCTCCCGTCTCTCCTTAACTGCGGCTCACAGAAGCTCCTGTCCGCCGTCTACGTGGATTACGCCCGGAGTCTGCGGACCCTCGGCTTCCGGCAGGGCGCTCTGCTCTTCGCCTTGAAAGCGGGACCCGCGGGCAGAGACTTGGTGGCCGAGCTGGAATCCCCCAAGCTGGAAGAAGAGTGACCGGGAACAATACCACCGGGGTCGGGGTCGGGCCCCGCGAGTCGCCCTGCTCCTGGGCTGCTGGTCTGGCCCAGTGGTCGGCCCCGCACACGCGAGGCTGCGTCAGATGAGCTGGGACTGGCGGCCTGCCGCGCCCCGGGGTGTCTGGAGGGACCCAGAGTTTGGATCTTTCTGAATTCTCAGGACAGGCGACTGGGCTGCCTTGCCCTGGGCCACGTTAAAAGCTGGTGGCAGCGTCTTGCTCTGCAGCGACAGCGTCTTCCGCCCCATCCTGGATGCACCCGCGGAGTCACGGGCTGTGGCTCTTTCTGGGTCGTTTCAGACTCGGGCACCGAGGGAGTCCCTGAGCATGGTTTGTGGGGGCTCCGGTACTTCTACTTGGTGCTCCCTCCGAGCGACACAGCAGTGGCCTCCCTCTGTCTCTGTGCATTCATTCCCCGACTTTACATTCCTCCCGTACCCGAAGGCAGAGACAACAAGAATGAACGTAACGTCTCAGAAACGGTGAATAAACAGGAAAACCCAAGCAGGTCTCGGTGTCCTGCATTGCTGTCCGGCCCCTCATTGCTGACCAGTCCCCCCCCCCCCCCAGTCTACACTGTTCCCCTGAATCCAGGAGACACGGTGTTGGGGGTTCCAGGACTGCCCGCCTTGGGGCCCCGGTGGGGGCGCTCCAGGCAGAGGGAAGGGAGGAAATGGGCCCCTGTGCCCCCTGACCACCGACTCTCCTGTGGCCTCTGGGCCCTGGAGAAGGACATGGGCTCTGTGGGGAGGAGAGGAGTACCCGGCTCTCTCCTCTCCAATGGAGCTTTGCCAGCAGCCTGCGGAGAAAGTGAGGTCGTGCTGTGGTTGGAGAGAGGTGCCGTGGCCCGACTGCTCTGGGGGGCGCCTTCCTGTGCCGTCTCCCTGCCAGGCCCACCCTGTGGTTTTAGAGGCAGGAGGAGCAACCGGATTTCAGGGTGGCGTGTTCTGAAACGGAGGCCAAGCCCTGGGCCCCCTGCCCCCGGCCTCAGCCCCAGGAGCCACAGACCCACCCGCAGGGTGCAGAGGCCGGAGCTGACAAGAGGAAAGGGGGTGGGTCAATGGGAACCCTGGAGAATAAGATGGAAACAGCCGGTGCCAGGCTGCACAGCACAACGGCTGTAGAAACGCCACCGACTAGTGGATGTGACGTAACGCGGTGAGAAACGGCCGTGATGGGACAGGACAGGGCGGGATCGGGAGATCCTTTGGCCACTCTTGTCAGTGGGGCCGGCTCCGTGGTGGCCTCAGCCGTCGGTCCTCCGCATGCACCTGCACGTCCTTCCAGAGTAGAATCGTCCTTTCTAAATTGCAGTCATGAGGGTGGTCCTGGGGATGGAGCCGTGTTTCGCTCCTGCTGCAAAGGCCTCAGCCTGCTCAGCCCCTTCTCTGGTGCTCCCTCTGGGGGTCTCCAGCAGGGAAGGTGGAGTTGCAGGGGCCCTTCTCTGCCACGAGGAACCTGGGCCTTCCAGCACCCTGACCCCTGCCCTGGGCTGCCCACTTGCGGCCAGCGCCTTTCACCTCTGCCTCCTGGTGCTGCCCCCGAAGACTGGGCACTCCCAAGTGAAGTGATACCCGAATTTAATCCCTTCCCCTGCTGTGTCTTCCATCGGACCCGTGTGTCCTGCCTGCTAGTCAGAGGGTGGAGGCACAGGTCTTCCCTGGAGGGGCCCGTGTTCACCCAGCCACAAGAGGACTCTGCAAGTGTCTGAGGGTGCCTCATTCTGGCAAAGGCTGAAACTGGGTTCAGGCTCCAAGGACCCCTGTGACCCCACAGCCTGAGTCCCCCACCCTCATCCCCAATTATTGATTTTTGTTTGGGGCTATACTAGTCTGTGCCCGGGGATCACTCCTGGCCGTGCTCGGGTGCCAGGAATCAAACCTGGGTCAGTCGTGTGCAAGGCCAGCACCCTGCCTGCTGTAGTGTCTCTGCTCCCCACCCCCCAAATTCTTCGTAGACAAAAAGATCTCCCTTGAGTTCATGTCCTGGTTGAATTTCTGAGCCGTGTGCTCCATGGAGAGCCCCCCCGGTCCAGGCACGGCTGAGCATTGACTGGCCTCCCACCATCTGAATAGGCCTGGGGTGGGGTTCAGGAGGCATCTGGTCAGCTGGCCCCAAAGGCCTGTTTTGGGTGTCGCTGAGCAAGTCCTTGCCTGGTGTATTCTGAGGAATCGCTGTCCCGGCTGCCTCTGCTGCCCTGCACTACATGTAGCAGCCAGCAGAGGGCAGCAGAGGATGGGCGAGCCCCTGGCTGCTCCTGTCGGCTGGGAAACCAGAACTCTCACCAGGACCAGGGCCTTTCGTGGGTTATTCACTGGGTCGGTTCTAAATCGCCCCTATGGCCATTGTGCACGCGGGGAAACAGACCTGGGAGGGTGGCCACAGCCATGGTCACGTTGGTCCCCATCCCCTCCCGGAGCACAGCAGCTAGAGGCTGGGAGCTCCGTGGGACCCGCCTCGCAGGAAGGGCGGACCAGTGGGTAGGGATTGAGCCCCAAGGTCAGGCCCCTCCTTGGACATGGCAGGGTCTCTGGGGCCTGGCCATCTGCTCAGGGACACAGGTGGGCGCTGTCTGGGGGATGGGGGCCAGTCAGAACCCCCCACACCTTCATCTTGCTGCTCCTTCCTGTTCCAAGGTTGCTGACACCTGAGAGTCACCTGGCAGAAACTCAGGGGCTGCAGGACCCTCTGTGCCGTCCACGGGGCACCCTGGGGTCTGCGTGTCCCCACACGCTCAGGCCGGCTATCACTGCCCGGAGGATAGTCAGGAGGTGCTGAACCGGCTGGATACCAGCCTGGGGTCTGGCCAGTCCAGAAAGACTAGGGTGCTGGGGTCAGCGCAGAAGGGCGCTGTGGTTCCTCCCGTTTCAGAGGTCTGGGCAGTCAGGCAGGGCCCAGACATGTGTCCATCTGAGAAAGACGCCTCAGAGGGCAGAGGCCAAGCCCGTTACCTGGCCCATACAGAGGCCACGCCCCTTTCCCACCTGGTGGCTCCTCCCCGCCTTTCTGAAGCCAGGTTGAATTTGGACTGGGAAACAGAAGCAGACATGTTGCGGGCCGGGGAGTGTCAGGGAGGCTCTCAGAGGCTGGTGTGAGACTGGCCAGGATGGAGGGGCATGCATTCCACCTCCCCACCCAAATTCATAGGGCATGGGAGGAAAGGCTGGAACCTCTTGGGTCCAGGAGCCTGGGGCACCCTCTGCCTACTGGCCTGGGCTCAGGGTCAGTGTGGGACGGAGGCCCTGGGCGAGAAGCGGCTGTGTGAGGGGAGAGGCGCCCCCCTGGGGGTGACACGGGTAAGGATGGTCCTTAGACACCCTTTCACAGGAATTGGTTAAGTCAAGACCGTGCATTTTATTTTTATTCTGTTTCGTGTTATAGAGGCTTGGGGGTCCTCACCTGGCAGTGATCAAGGACCGTGTGGGGTGCTGGGGGTCAAACCCGGTCCCATGCAAGGCAAATGTCCTGCCGTCAGTTCTGTGTCTCAGGCCCCAGGACTGTTTTAACCATCCTTCCACCCCATCACCCCATGTTTCTTAATCTTTATTTGACTTTTCTGGGTCACATTAGTCGATGTTCAGGAATTGCTCCTGACCGTATGGGCTGGCAGGGATCGAACCCCGGTCGGTTGCATGCAAAGCAGATGCTCTCCCCGCTGTGCTATGGCTCCATGCCCCCCCTCACTCCCCCCACTCCTTAACACCCCCCCCCACCACCACCTCTCACACAAGCCTCACGCCCAGCAGGACTCAGCCTGCTCATCTGTTTCATCCCTGAGCTCAGTCCTCCGATCCTGTGTGGCCGGGGCTGCTGTTGGCTGGGCAAAGCTGATCCAGTAACGCCCCCCCCTTCCCAGAGTTTTGGGGGACAGTTGCCAGCTCCGGTGACTTCAGGCTCCAGCAGTTGGGACGAGGGCATGGGGCAGTTCAGGGCCACAGGCGCTGCTCACTCCTGCTGCTGGAGGAATCCCCACCGCACCGTGTGTGGCCAGCGCGAGGGTTGAGGCGGGTCACCTCGCGGGCCCCTCCACATCAGGCCATTGGGGGGTCCTGCAAAGCGCCCAGCACCTTCGCCACCCACTCCCCTACACTCTCCTACACTCCCGAGCCACTGTGTGCCTGCGAGGAAGTGGGTAATGGATGAGGCTCCAGGGGAGCCTTGGACCGATGCCCCGTTATCTCCTCAAACCTTGAACAAGTGTTTCATCTTTCCTGCCCAGTGAATGTAGACCCACATCACCCAGGAATACTGGGACTGGTGGAGCAGACCGTGCTTTCTGGCTGTCTCGGCTGGCCGGCTGCTTGGTCCTGCAGAGTATTGGCACACTCAAGAGGGGTCTCAGCCCTTTTCCTGACCCACAAGGCCGCCTGGTCACCCTCCACACACACACACACACACACACACAGACACACACACGGGCCGCCCAAAGGCCAGTGGCCTTGCACTTTCCACCAAGCCCCAGACAACGGGACCGTTCCTTTGCTGTTGCTGTCTCGAGGGCCCCAGGGCCCAGAGCTGCCAAGGCCGCAGCCCCCACAACCGTCCACAGCGTCCTGGGTCTTTGCATCCAAGCGTGGGTCTGGCAGGGACCGGGCTGTGCTGCCTGCCGTGGCCACGAGATGGCGCTGCGCGACCGCTCACGGAGCCCTTCGCACGGCTCGCTAGGGCAGGTCCCCCTGTGGGACTCCAGGCCCAGGACTCAGAATTTGGGGGTGTGTTTTGGGTGGTGTGAGCAGTCGTGAGGCTCTGGTCCAGGGAGCTGCGCTCACAGGCCTGGGTGTAACCCCACAGAGGTTAATGATCAGCCTCCAGTTACCCATCCATTACCCATCAGTTCAGAGGGCTGGAATTCATCCTGCCCAGACGTGGGAACAGCACTGGTTGGGGGTGGGGGTGGAGGGAGGGCTCTCCAGGACGGGGGGGGGGGGGGGGGGAGGAGTGGGAGCCTCCGACCCGCTCCACACGCTGGACAGTGAGTCAGATGGACTTGGCTTCTCATTACACCCCTGCCCTTTGGTCTCCATCCACTTGGCCGCAAAACGGGCCTGAGATGCAATTAGGAGGCATCGGGTCGGGGGACTACCGGGAAGGACTTTCTCAGAAACCTGCAGCCCCGGGTTCCTGCGAGCTCAGATGGGCCACCTCGGTGCTCATCCACAAAGGAAGGGCAGTGTCCACCAGGGCACTCCCCTCGCAGGTGGTGGAGCTGTGAGATCACGGCCCAGCAGATCTCTTCCTGCTGCTCCCTGATGCTTTGAGATGGTGTGTGTGTGTGTGTGTGTGTGTGTGTGTGTGTGTGTGTGTGTGTGTGTGTGAACTCCCCCCCTCCCCCACCCCGCCACGTCTGGGTTTCCTCTAATATGTGAGTATTAAGAGCAGTATTACTGCTTCTATCAGACTCCAGAGGTCTGGGGTGGAGGGTGGGGAGTGCCACTCTTTCTGTTTTCAAAAGAAATTGTAGACAAT